AATATGAAAAATCCTATTACTGTATCCTACTTAGGGAAATGGATGATGAACACATAGCTAAATACCTTCATGTCTTGGTTCAGGGGTCTTTGCTGATGCTGACAAGTAAGAGACCTGGCTCTAGATATTTAGGAAACCTGGAAAAGCCTGGCAAAGAGGATGTAGATGTGACTAGTTAGCTGTTAGATCAGAATTGTGTTCTTAATTTAGCTTGGCCCTAGGTGACTGCCATAACTATTTTCCCTCAGAGAAATTCTTCATGTGTTTTTGATGCAAATTTCACTGTGAGCCTTTTGATCTTCAAACATTTGCTTTTGGTACTTGTGCACTTTGCCTACTCTGTGTCAATGTTTTCAGATAGCTGGCTAGTAATAGTGTTGGGGTACTAATTCTCTTCTAATGCGCCTCTGAGCTGCCCTGAGAAACAGTATTGTTAGGCACATTGTTTTGACTGACTTAACTGCCATCTTGCAGGGTTTTCTTGGCCATATATTTTTCTATATTCTTCACATAATTGGCTTCTTCACACTTTTAATGCTCAGTGATATGTCGGTGAATGAATGTTAACAAGATTCTTGATTTCTGTCCCTATACCACCCCCCTTCAGCTGTCTTACTGTACAGTGTAAGCCTCATCATTTATAAGCCAGACTGACCTTGAATTTTGCTTTATGCCTTAAGTCTTTCCAGTTACTTTACTTTATGAAAAGATAAAAATTGAATGTATGTTTTTTCTTCCCATTTGCACCACATGGGGTATTACTCAAAATCTTTGCTTTTCAAGTCCTTACACCTAAGATTCTTAGAGCGGGTGACTCCTAAAGCCTGCTGCGTATGGCAGTCATTTTTACTGTGTTAAGATTGGCCCTGGTTCTGCCATCATTTATTTTTGGAATTACTTGTGATATTTTAAGCAGTTTAAAGCCTTTGAGAAAATAATCAGTCTTAACTGAGATGTATGGGTTACCTTCATTATAATTTGATTTTATTCAAAGTGAAACAGCAGTAATTTATCCTTTCATAGAAATAGCGAATAAAGTGAAATATTAATGCATGTATTAAACTTAGAATTTTGAAACCTCTAGTAATTTTCATTCCTTCCTTTTATAAAAGATGGTGTCAAATGCTAGCATTGGAAGCAATATTTTTCCAAGATTATATTTAAAAGATATGTGTTGGGATCTTTGTGTTGTGGGTTTTTCCCCCTTTTTTCCTCTTTTTATATATCTGACTTTTGCTGTCCAACAGTGACAAGCACCAACTGGAATCTTTCTGATGCTTATGTTGATATCTTACTATCCCCATCTGTGGTTTGCATCCCTGCCTCTGAAGACTTCAAGCAAAATTTGATCCCATTTTCAGAATGAATGCTAAGCATATGGAAACTTCTTCTAGTCTGCTAGGAGAGCTCTTAGGTGTCATGTTTTTGTTGGAGAGTAAGTGGGAAGGTTGATTACCACTTGTTTGGGTTTGGCCTGTGTTGTTCTGCTTGTTTTCTGGAAGCATTCAGTGTGTCTTCTTTTTGATATGAAAATAAAATACTGCTGGATTTGATTGACAAGAAAGTTCATTGTATCCAAATAAAAGCTACTGTTTCAGCAATCGGTCACTAAGTCTATATATTGTGCTTCAGATAAATGCACAGTGTGATGAGATGGAATTTTTATTTCGTTGAAATTTTGCTTTAATTAGATTCTATTGGAGGATCTTGGAAAGGGATTTTTTCTTCTCTGTAGCTTAGTGTTTTTAGTGTCTTAGTAATTATTTATAGGCTGTACTGCAGAATTCTTTGTGGCATTGAGTAATTCAGTGTTTTGAGGAAATCAGCAAAGTTCAAAATAAATAGTTACCAGCAACACCACTTCAGAAGTTCCTCTGCAGCCTTGGTTTTGCCAAGTTGTAACATTTGCTAGGCAGCTAACTCTTCCTCTAAGGTGCATCTGGATTTCCTTTGAGTTGAGCTGGGGAAAGATTAAATTCTAAGTTCCTGTGTGTCAAAGCCTCTTGTATGTTCAGATGCTGAAGGGAAGCTCTAGTGAGGGGTTCACTGGAAGATGCCCCTGACAGCTGCTCTTCTGTCCATTGCACTGGTCAAAAAGTAGCAGTAGATAATGATCAGCACCAGTTAACCTTTGCTTTCCCAAGCTCACTGCTTCCCTGACTCTAGCAGCACCTCTTGCTTTTTCCCCAAAATCCTGGGGTCTGTCCAGGCACTGGCAGTGGGACTGGGGATCAAGGACACTTGGTGTAAGAGTGACCTGAAGAGAAAGTGAGGAAATAAAAGAGGCAGCAGTGTGATGCCTTCCTGTGAGACTTTGAGCTGTTGTAGATTTAGGGGCATAGATTCTTTGTGACTGTTTTCTGCACACTGGCAGTGGTAGAAGATGCTTTGCTTTGGTGTATATCAGAAATGTGGTGCCCCTGCTCCTCTGTCCTGGCACTATAGGGATTAGTGAAGGTGAGCAGTGGATGGTCTGGGGGGGGGTGCACTGATATTCTGCTTCAATGTCTATCAGTGAAGTAGTTGATTGTTTCAGTATCTATATTTCTACAGTTTCTGTACCATTATTTTAGTTTATCAAGATGTTTTAAAATAAGTTTTTATTTCTATTTATTTTTATAATGGAAAGTCGGAGCTGATCCTGGATCCTGTGGTATTTCTGTACTGCAGAGATGAGCTCTGTGAGTATACATCAGGAGTTTCTCCGAGTTTGTCTTTGTGGATTAGCAGCATACTTGCATGTTACTTCTATAATACTGTATTGCTGGTGATGCTTGTGTTACTTCTGACAGCCTTGGGGTCCTGGAGAAATAAATAATCTCCGTGTTGCTTTGTGTATATTGTATATTTTTCCCTTTGTTGGATGCAGCAGGTTTGCTGGAAGAAAGGAGTTTAGAAAGGACAGCTTTTGCATCCTCTTCTTTTTGTCGATACAGGTGGCGACAGACAAGGTTGCAGGCAAGCTGAGCTCCACTCTCTCATGGGTGAAGAACACGGTATCGCACACCGTCAGTCAAATGGCCAGCCAGGTGGCGAGTCCATCTGCCTCCCTGCACACCACATCCCCCTCCACCACCCTGTCCACACCTGCCCTCTCACCATCCTCACCAACACAGCTGAGCCCTGACGACTTGGAATTACTTGCTAAACTTGAGGAACAGAACAGGTGAATGGAAAACCTTTTGCTCTTCGAAGTACAGTAATGAGGCTAAAAGTGGTTTATTGCAATTGTAGCACAGAGACTGTTAAAGGAGAATTAATTAAAAATTTAATGGCACAGCACTTAAGTTTGTATTTTTGTGCTGTGTTTTTACAAGTTGTGTTTTTGTGAAACTCCAGGAGGTATTTTTCTCTTCTGGTTTTACAGGAGTGTTTGTAGCTGCCTCCAATAATAAGAAATTACACAATGATTCTTAGTATCCAGTTTAAAGTAAATTATCTCAGGGATGAGACTTGTGTATAACTTTCTTACCTTCTAAAATCATAACTATAATTTCTATTAATTTATTGAAATCTTAAATCTTTCTAAATTCTTTTTTTTTATACTTTTATCCAGTTCTTATTTCAGCTACGTAACCTGTTATGTAGAGAGATAGAACTGTGTTCAGCCACCTTTTCGCTGTTACACTAATGGTGCCTGATGCATAGTATCTTAAATTAATTAAAAGTAAATTCCTAATCAGTTTTTTCTGTTCATCTTGCCTTTTTATGTATAGAAACAGTTTTTATGGTAGTTTTTCCATGTACCTGTTTATCTGCACAGTGTACAATTGAAGATGCAATGTTCAGGTGGATTGGTTGCTCTTGATGTGCACAGTGATGTAAATTCACAATATTACTAAGAAATAAAATTGGACTGTATAATTTCTTAATGCTAAATTTCCAGAAGCCATACTCACTTGCAGTTTTGAGGCAGGACTCCTAAGTCATCTGTCCTTTTACAAAATCTGGTTATATTTGACAAGTATGTTTCAATAATTTTTGAGAGGTTGGCTGTAAACAACTTGAGCTCCAAGTAGATCTTTAGACTTGGCAGGTAGCTGCAGGGCTTTGTTACCTATTGGAGATGGCTCTCCCTGAGCTGTAGTGAAGTGCAAGGTTTGATAATTTAGCTCAAACTAACTTCTGTTTTGGCTTCTATGAGAGTGCTGGCCTTTGCACTGAGGCAGTAGAGGTACTCTTTGATTGGGTTGGGTTTCTTTGGAGGTCTTTTGGTTTGGTTTCTTGGTTGTTTGGTTTAGGGAGGTGGGGGTTGCTTTTTGGTGGAGTTTTTTTTTGTGTGCTTCTCTTTTGGTGGTATTTTTTGTGTGTGTGTTTTTTTTTAAATATTATTCATGTTTGGGAAGGGTTGTTTGGTTTGGTGTTTTGCTTTAATTTGTTTGTTTGTTTGTTTTTTCTCTGCTGAGTCAAGTCTGAGAGTAGTAACTTTCAGTGGAGGAGGAGAGTAACTGGGGGGAGGAGAGGCAATGCCTGTGTGTCACCAGGCATGTCTTCTCCCATGTCTGCATTCTGCAGCCTGATAGCAGCACAATTTGAAGGGAATTTGATACATCTGTCCAGATTTTGACAAGAATAGGAAGCTTCTAGAGCTACCTCATACAGTCTTCCTTGTCTTCACAGATGAACTCCATTTAATTTTTGCTGTGCAAATGAACAATTATCAAAAGAAACAAAAAAATTAGTTAAAGAGTGCTGTTTTAGAAAGCTAATTTGCATTTAATCCAAGGCTTTCTAGTCTGTTCATGGCAAAGAAACTAACTTGTATTTGAAAAGTAAATTGTTCTTTGGACTGCTTATCTGTGTTGGAGTGTAATGTCTTTAGATCTGGAGCCTTCTCATTAAGACCCGCAGTCAGACTGCCTGGCTTGTTGAAAGAAGTACATGAGCTTAGGCTTTTTGTCTCAAGTCAGCTTTCTTCATTTAGTAAATAAACTAGCCAATCTTGTCTGGTTATATTTCATTTTAGCCAGACATGTTATTAGTCCCACACTAGCCTTGTGTGTGTGAATTCTATTTAGAGCCTGCCCTATCCAGTATATCTTTGCTGGTGAGATACTGCCCTTTAAGACTGAAATTTGATGCTCTTATTCTGGCTGCACTGTAGTTTCAGAACAGTTTGCATCTGCAGTTTAGCACAGTGGCACTTTGTTGACAATTGTACTCTGTTCACAGGGAACCATTCTTTCTGCTTGCTGGAAAAACTGCTGCCATGGATGTTTGTAAAAGGTTTTGGGTTTTTTGTAGGTTTTTATGTCAGAAGGAGAATATGAATTAGGTAACAGTTAGAAAAGGGAAGAACTCAAATTGTTTCAAGCTACGTCTGGTAGCATTCTGTAATCTAATTATACTGAAAGTCCCCACAGAATAAAGAGGAAGCTCAGTCCAGAGTCCTGGTAGAACTGTTTGGCATTAGTAAATCATTTATAAAGTTTTTAATGAAAGAAAACGGTGACTAAACGTCACAGAACTTGCGACTTACTGTGAACAGAACTTCCTGTTTTCAAAGCTAAGGACAATGAGTTTATCCAGGTAAGGTCTAATTACAGAAACCTGTGAAAACTAGAAGTGTCTCATTAGAACCTGTTTTTTATAATTTTAGTGTTTAGTATATGCTTTTACTCTCTGATTACTTTGAATTTGGTGTTTGGGCATTGTCTTGGATTGAGAGAGTTTTAACCAATTCTTCATTATGGATTGGTACAAGCCAGGTTTCTAAACATTTGGAGTGGATTTTTCAAGTATTTTCTTCAAAACTAGATTTTATACATTCCGTTAATAAATGGGAAATTATTTGAATTTTAAAAAATAAAATCTCAAATGAAAATTTGTCTTGAAAATGAAAAGGCTTTTTTTCCCCCCCTTTTTTTAACAATTTAGGTCTTTTCCAAACAAAATACTCCTGCAGAAACTGTACTATTTATCTTCATGAGTTAAATTACTTTTTCCCTTGCTTTTATAAACACCAGTAGGTGAAAGCTGGAAACAGGGGAAGCTAGTATAAATATCTTTATTGTAGCAGAGAGCTTAAATATTGGAGGTATGCTGAGATTTCTCAGATACAATGTGCCTTGGGCTATAATTTGTTAAATATCTAAAACATAACCTTGCTGGATGCTGGGGGATTAACTTTCATACTAATTTTGGACAAATTATTCAACCACACGGCTCTGATATACTGATGTTGGAATTCTTGGAAGTTAAGGCACAAATGAAACTTGCGGTATAGTGAAACACTTCCAAGTTAGTCTGAATTCTCGCTTACCTAACACATGGTCTAAAAAAATTTCCCCTGCTTATGGGGCTCAATATTAGTTAAGGATAAACAAAGCATTGCCTTTTTGCCTATTCCATGGCTACAGCAATCAGCTCACAGGGAGGTCTCCTCAAGAACTTTTCTAGCACTTGACACATCCTTATTTGTACTTTTCTGCTGGATAGCCCCAGAGGTTCTCACGTTTGAACTCCTCACTTTAATTGCACTTTCATTAGCTCTACTAGTCATTTCTCTTTCCTTATCCTTGGTCTGTAGGTCTGGGATTTCTCCTGTGCATTTATAAAGCATTGTGTTGATTTGTGAACAGTTGTCAGCAAATACCAGTTGTTTTAAAATTACTTCAAAGATTTTAATTGTTCTGTCTTTATTTATACTGTCAATTTTCAAAAAGTGTAATCAGGTAGACTTATAGGAGGCTAATTTTTTGTCTTTTAAATGGCTGTATTTTTAAAGTTCTTTGACATTTGATGTTATTACTGAGGATATTTACCTTCCTTGGGTTTTCTTTGTCAGTCTGATGCATGACAGCTGTGGGTGACATTTTTATCCATTTCTTAAAATGCTGCAGTGTGAACCATTCTGTCTGCAGATTTACTTGCATTCTCAAGAGAAAGCAGTAACATTGAATGTTTTTTTTCACATTTAATCTAAATGAATGCTGGTAAAACTGTTTCACTGAACCTCTGGGTGTGTTCTTTGTCAAGAAAACAATTAATAGTGCGATCCTTTGATTAGAAGAACATGAATTTGGTTTTTGTGTGCTTTCTTTGCAGACTCTTGGAAACAGATAGCAAATCCTTACGATCAGTAAATGGGTCAAGAAGAAATAGTGGATCTTCTCTTGTATCTAGTTCATCAGCTTCTAGTAATCTCAGCCATCTTGAAGAAGACTCATGGATCCTGTGGGGGAGGATTGTGAATGAATGGGAAGATGTACGGAAAAAGAAAGAAAAGCAAGTTAAGGTAGTTGGAAACCGTTTCTTGGTTTTATTTTTAATGTGATATAAGTGATATTGTTTTATCTTTGTGATGGGCTTATTCTTTTTAAATATGTAATACAAACGTCCAGTTGAATCTTTCTATCTCTAAGCCTTAGTGCTTCCTTTGTAACCTTCCTATGTGCTGTCACCCAGCAAATGTCTCCTGCTGAAAACCAGATACATGTACTGTATCTTGAATATTAACTGAAGCTTTCAATTTACCTCTGATGAGAGATTTCCATGAATGCAGGGATGATTAGCTTCATGTTTCCAAAAATGGAATTACTGAAAATCAATTTAAGGGCATCTGATAGCTTGATGCTCTGATTATGTGTATGTATGCTATGCTGCTATATACTGAGCAGCTCTCTTTTTAAAGCATTATTAATAGGAGTGCTGATAATTCTACTCAAAGGCTACAATGAGTTTAGGTTTTTGTGCTTGCCTAGTGTGCCGACCTCAGAGATGACCTTAGGCAGAAGAACACATAGTTTCTAAATTCTGGATGGATTGAACAAACTTTGACCAGTGTGTCCAGTCTGGGTTAGTTGTACAGAAGTGTATAAGGTCATGTACAGAAGTGTACCAGGTCATGTACAGAAGTGGAGTTCAATTACACTTGAAATTCAAACTAAAAAGCATTTAGTGCATTTGAACATATCCATGTTTCAGTGGCAGCAAGCACATCAGTGTGCTACTAACATGCCTTTTGTTAGTAGGCAAGTCTGTTCTGCTTTGGTTCTTTATTGGCTGTAGTCTGTAGTTTTATGTGCAGAATACAAATGTGTCAGGGTCTTTTGAACAGTTTGAAATGTGTGTCTATGAATAGGTTGTGGGAAGGCAGAACAATGGGCTAAAGTAAAGTATCTTTTATATGGAGCAGTTGTGAAGAGAGAACATGACTTGAGAGAGGAAACAAGGGAAGAAAATGAACTGAAGATTTCATGCTTGCATAGGGAAAGCAGTTTCTGGAAAGGTGTTCCAAAAGGCCATCAAAAGAAGGCCACAGGAATCTGGCAAGAGAAAGGAAAAATGAGATGGTAATAAGATCTGGTTAGTTAGAATTTGTTTGAACATTTTCAAGTGTCACAAGTGTCACTTGTTTTACAGCTGGCCAAGTACAATTTGAGGAGTATTTGACTAACTTTCAGGGAATATTTAATTACATTGCTGACTAATATATTGGAAACTAGCCAAGTTTTCCTTTGCTGCTAAATAATTTTCAGTATTTTTTTGTTGAAAGTCAACCTTAACTATGAGTCTGCATTTATGATGGAACATCAGAAGATCCACACTTATTCCCTGATTGTGCCAGTAGGTAAATAGGTAGCAGCACAGGTGTCTTTTTGTCTTGGCTGTAAAAGCTGATCTTAGGTTATTAGAAATCTGGTAAGCTTTTAGGTTTTAGGCATGAGTGTCTCTGCCTTCTTCCAAAGATGATGTGTTCCATCCTTTATATCTCTCAATCCACGTCAGAACTTGCTTCTTGTTTATGGAGCACTTCTGAAGGATGACTCAAGTCCTGCTGTTCAGTTCACATGATATGTCCAGTAGATGTGTTTTCCTGCTGTTCCTTTTAAGAAAGTTGGAGCGGTTAACTCTATTATTCTGTCAAGCAGGTATGTTAGTAAGGCATTAGCAAGAATTTTCTTTCTTTATTAGTACCCTTGAGGTTTTAGCTGACTGATGTACAGTCCAGTTGTGTTGTTGACAAAGGATAGGTAGAGACAGTTGTGTAAAGCTGATGTGTTAGGGTTCTTGTCTTGAATTGGAGATCTTTTAGGAAAAACACCTTGGTGTTGTGTTGTAGACAGGAGAAACAGTTGGAGTTCCATTACCATGGTGGTTCTGAAAAAGGATGGATTGAGAGCTTAGGGATGTTCAAAAATGGAGGTCAGTGATGCAAAACTTCCGCAGCAAAATTCAAGCTTAAGAAAAACAAACCTTGAAAGTAAGAGTCTCTTTGAACATAGCAGTATTATATTAATTAATTGTAGTGTTGGAGAAGTAGGAGTAATATGTGGAACAAACAGGAAAATAGGAAGGTTTGTAGAATAGAAGGATACTCTGGCTTCAGAATAAATAATAATGAAAGAAATTAGCTTTTAGGAGATAGAATACTTGATAACAATTATTAATGTACAAAAAGGAAATAGTCTTGAAGAGACAATTTTCTAGGTCAGACTGATTGTAGTTGCAGAACATACCACCAAGATAGTCTATTAGTGAATAATGCATCTTTCTCAGTTTCCAGATCAAGCAGTAAGACTATTTGTCCTTGTGATTTCTTAAAGGACCAAGTGACAGGTTCTTAGCTGTTCTTTAGCTTACTTGTCTGGGCATGTTTGAATTGTATAATATCTAGCAGATTTTTTCTTCCCAAAAGATAAAGCAAATTTAGTTAATTTAGTAGGTGTAAACTTAACGTTTTCTTGGTCCAGTATCTGAAACTGCATTTGAATACTTTCTTAGAGGATAACTTGGAAATACTGGCACACCAGAGAAACTGGATACAACTTGTCAAGTTTGTTAAATGACATTTGTACTGTGCAAATTTTTTTGTTGCAGTTGACTGTGCTACAGTTCTACTTTTTGTAATTTACCTGTCTTGGAAGTAATTTTTAGTCAGTGATTTCTTGGGTCTCAATTACTACAAACATTACTAAGGGTGTTATCTTCAGTAATCTTTCATGAAATACAGACATAATTGTATAAGTTCTGTTTAATGGAAGTTCTTGTATAAATTTATTTGAATATTCCATTTTTCACATAGTTTGGCGTGGATAAGAGATTACTTTCAGTAGCTAATTTAGCCACTAAAAATGATTCAGAGACTGCTTACTTTTGTGAACTTAATAATCCCAGTAAATTTGATGTTATAAACTGTATGAGGAGCTTTTGTCATGATGTAAATTTTTTTCTGAAATTGTGAGGAACTTGATTTGAAGTTGTTTTTTCTCTAGGTTTATTTTTTTGTAATATTTTCAGGGAATATAAATTGTCTTTTTGTGCCTTAGGAGCTGGTTCGAAAAGGGATACCTCATCACTTCAGAGCAATTGTTTGGCAACTTTTATGCAGTGCTCAAAGCATGCCAATTAAAGATCAGTATTCAGAGCTTTTAAAAATGACATCTCCTTGTGAAAAATTAATAAGAAGGGACATTGCTAGAACATACCCTGAACATGATTTTTTCAAAGAAAAAGATAGCCTTGGGCAGGAGGTCTTGTTCAACGTAATGAAGGTGAGTTGGAATTTCAGCCCTTGAAAATATATTAGCAAGAACATGCACCAGCTTGTATTGCCTTGTAGACAGAGAACATGCACCAGTTTACTGTGTTATAGGTTTGTTTTAAACCATAGACACTGGGATGGTTTAACAAATCCCATTTTAGTTTTGATGGCATTCCTGTAAGTTTTTTTTCTCACAAGGTAAGACCAAGTTGGCATTAAAACAAGGTCACATACTGCTGATAGTATAATGGAATGAAGTGGGCCATGAATTAAAGTAAACAGCATTGCCCAAGACAGCATTGGTGATCAGAACTAGTGTTCAGCTTGCAGGTATTTCTGAAGTGCACGTGGCAGGTACAAGCTAATGTGCAGTTGTTCCAGTGCCCAAACCCAAAATAAAAATGCCAATGTAGCATTGTTTGCATTACTTAGTCTTCACTAGAGGTTAAACTTTGAAGGTCAAACTTTTCTATAGAACATGATTTCAATGGAAAAATTGGCAGGTTTCCAAACCATAGTAATTTCCATAACTCTAAAACAAAGATGCCATCTGCATGGAGATCACCACATTTCATCCATCTGTAAATAAAACTGCAACATATATTTTTTCTGAAGACAACTTGTTTCATTGTCTGGTCTATCTCCTATAAAAGCAGTAGTTTGTCAGATGTTTTTATGCCAGTGGTCTCTCTTATCTTTTACCAAGTTCCTGTAGTTGAAAACTGCCTGTGTTTTTGGTAGGTATGCCTTAGTTTTAGGTTTGTATGTGCTCAAATTACTTTTGATTGATAATGAGGTTTTAATTGTTGAGAGTTTTAACTTTATTTTCCAGGCTTACTCCTTGGTGGATCGTGAGGTTGGATACTGTCAAGGAAGTGCTTTTATAGTTGGATTACTGCTTATGCAGGTAAAAATATTTAAAAATATATGAACCTTTAAAATCCCTGCTTGAATGCATAATATATTGTGGTTGTTTATTGGAAATTTTTGCAATGGTTTTCCTTAATAATTTTGTTATGGAGTTGTCAAGGGCAGCTAATTAGTCTGGAAATAAAGTGAGATTTACTTTGTCATTCTATTTGCCAAGATACTTGTATTGGAATGGGAGAATGTATTTGTTTCTCAGAGCTAAGGTAGGATCGCAGGCTTGCAAGCTATTTTGGTGAGTGATATTTCAAAAATAAATGTACTTCCTATTTCTCTTCTATTACATGGAATCTCCTCAGAGTTCAAATGAAACTACACAGTTGTCTTGATTCTCTTAAAGCTTTCTTTGTCTTATTGGTTTTTGGTTTATGACAAAGTAAGGTATATGGTAAGAAGCTTACAGACCTCCATTTCAGTCTAGAAATTATTTGCTAGAATTTAATAGATACAAAAGTTCATTGGAGTAATTGGCTGTAAATCCCTTAAAAAGCCCAAAGACCTCGAAACAAACAGACCAACAACCAAGAAAAAAATTCCACTGCATGCATATGCACATGCACACAAAACCCCAACCCTAAATCCTCCCAGGCTTTTACACTGATATATCATTATGTTTGTCCAGAGTTTTTACTGTGCTTTTTTGTTTTTGATGTAGATGCCAGAAGAAGAGGCATTCTGTGTGTTTGTTAAATTAATGCAAGATTACAGACTACGAGAACTCTTTAAACCAAGCATGGCTGAACTGGGCCTTTGTATGTACCAGTTTGAATGCATGATACAGGTACATACAAAATCTATCAAACTTGCTCTTCAGTGGCTATTAATAAGGAACTTGGGAGTTACAGCTCAAGGGCAAGGCATATCTTTTGACTCTTGACAATAGCTAGTTTCAGAACTTCACAAGTAAATGCACATGACTCTGTGAGCAATTTTTTTAACCTTTGGCAGACAGTGATTGGCTTCAAAGACTGAAGCATGAGGATTTGTATTGCTGCAGTTTAAGCATATGAATGTTTGACTTTCAGAGTCTTCAATCCAAACAGAATTAAAGTCTTCATAGTCAATTTATATTATCTTAAAAGATGAAAATTGGGAGGTACTCTCATATCTAGAATTGAAATTGTTTTCAGGTTGGAAATGCAGGTTCTTCCTGGTCAGGCTGATGGAGAACAGTAGTTTTGTTTTGTGATCCAGTTTCTAATATGGTGATTGGGGTGAGATATCATATAGCCTTAGATGTTGTCAGCTTTTTAGTAGCCCATTCTAGTTATTACTCAGGGATTTACAAGCTTGACTTCCCCTTAGGATCAGGAAGTGTTTTTGTTATCTGCTTTACAGGTAGACATTCTACAGGCTATTCTATATTGGGACTTTAGTAGTTACATGGTTCTTGATAATGTTGAGTCATATCTTTCCTAGTCCTGTTTCTAGTACATCTGTATTAAGAATCAATTACTATCTTGTATTCAAAATTTGTCAAAAACATGTCTGCACTAAAACTACAAGCAGAAGTTTAACATACTTGTGTATTTTATTCCTCTTCTTTTCCAGGAACATCTTCCAGAGCTTTATGTGCACTTTCAGTCTCAGAGTTTTCACACTTCTATGTATGCATCGTCATGGTTTTTAACTATATTCCTTACAACTTTTCCACTACCAATTGCAACGAGAATATTTGATATCTTTATGTCTGAGGTAACTACTAAATAGTAATCATATATTTCAAGAGTAGCTGTTGAAAGCTGTTATTTAGGTAGTGGCATAAATCCCATCATGATGGACAAATCTCATAGTCTTGCTTTTTATTTCTTATGCTGATCACATTATTTTAAGGGAAGGTGTCTGTGTGTGCAGCTTGTCAAGAAAGAGCAGCCAAGGCACTGAATGTGTGTAGCTTTGTGCTCTAAGCCTGCTGAAGTGTTCCCAAGTCTGTTCTTTCTGGATGCAGTGCATTAGCATTGCATGCAGCAGGGACATCCATTCCTCAGTATTATGGTGAGTTTGCAGTGGAAACTAATGCTGCTTTCAAGCCAAAGTTGAAGATCACTGTGGATATGCAAGCCAAGAAGTGTGTGTTGGGGGGTGTTAGTTGTTTTTAATTGTCCGGATGATGATTGGTGCCAAAGAAATTTAGGGAATTATTCAGTGTCAGTATCACAAAGACACCTATGTTGTGTTTAGGATTAGAACTTTTCATAATTGTAATTAGTAACAAATCATAGTTTATGCTTGCCCTGCAGTCAGCTTTTAGAAAGCAGTAAGTGAAAGGTAGATTCTTTCAGCTTGCTCCCAGGAAAGTCCAAGATGGGGTATATAGAGAGACATTCCATTATTCCCCCCCTCCACCTCCCCCCCAGGGCAGTTTAACTGCATTGTACTGTGTCTGAAATTAAAATAGTTTTTTTGAGAAGTACTGGGGATTTTTCTACTAGATACACTTAAAATGGTTGATAGAGCTGACCTAGAGAATTCCTGTCATTTGAGATTTTGCCTCATCACTAACTTCTCTGAGAGAGATGCCTGGTGTCAGGACAAATAGCGAGGCTGCTTGTCCTTGGAACAAAAAAAAGAAACATAGAAGCAATTTGTTGAGAGATTTTTTTCAGTAGCCCTTTTACTTGTGCTTACTTGGGTGAGATTTCCAATGTTAGTAAATAGTAGAAAAACTCTGTACTGTTGACAATGGCATGAATAATTGTTGGGTATTTTTTGATTTATCTTTTCAGGGTTTAGAGATAGTATTTCGAGTAGGTTTAGCATTACTTCAGATGAACCAGGGAGAATTACTGCAACTTGACATGGAAGGAATGTTACAGGTAAGCTATGGTTATAATATTTTTAAGAGAAATCTGAAATGTGTAGTGTGTGTGTATTTCCTTGCAGCTGTTAATTATATGTAATCTTGTGCTCTGATTGCTTTTAGCACTTTCAAAAGGTCATTCCACATCAGTTTGACAGTGGTCCAGACAAATTAATCCAAGCATCTTACCAAGTCAAGTACAATGCAAAAAAGATGAAAAAGTAGGTATTACGTTTTGAAAAAATAGATTTTGCTGTTGTTGAGTTACTGTTTGTTTGCTCTTAAGAATTGTTATTCAGTGTTTCATTTTGAATTTTCCATCTTTACATTTTTTTTGGATTTTGTACTGTATAGACAGTTAAAACTGCAGTTCTGTCTACAAAAATGGTTCTAAAGTAGTATTTGCTATTTTTCTTAAATATAATAAAGCTAAATCTCATTTACAAAAATAACTAAAGAAGCATTTGAAGAAAACTGCAAGTTATGGGGAATTACAGTGCTTCTGTAAAAAGGAACTGAATAGGAAGACTGGGTAGGGGGTGGTTTTCTGGTGGGAGGGGAGATGGGTTTTTTTTCAGGATGTAAGGAGATGAAACTTTTATGATCTCACCTAAATGCTAAAGATTTTAGTTCTCATGAACTGGAAAAAGAATCACAGTGCTAAAGAGTGTATTTATAGTCCAAATTAGTGCTGTTTAAAATATAAATTGATAAAACTTTGGAGTAATATTGACAACAATAAAACAACTTTCATGTGGGGTTTGAATCTTGAGAATACTGCTACTTGTTGCTGTTGTTAAGGTTAGTTGCATGTCTCTTCTGCCTTTGGTAAATTTTGTTTTGATTAGCAAGCTGCCGATAGTGTGATTTGCCAGGGTTGAGTTGGTTGGGTCACCCGTTGGTTGTAAAGTATCCTATATTCATTGTTGCCCTGCAGGTTGTGCCCAGAGTCTTCCAAACTGAATTTGTCTATCCTTTTCTTTTTGTTTTTCTTTTCTGTCAGTAACCTGTGATCAGTAGAGTGAGCAGTCTTCTCTAAAAAAGAAGTAGCAACAAAGCTTTCAGGAAAAATATTTTCTTGACAAACCAGTACAAGTATATGTAGTTGAACATCCACCATTCCAAGTCTGAACTTCCCAATATGCCTTCTGTAGAGGCATTGTTATCTCAGCTTATGGGTTTTTCTTGCCACTTTTTTAATTTGGTTTTCTGGGGAGAGGCTAAAATTGATTTATATTGAAGGTATTTTTCTCAGATTTCTTTTTTTCCAGGCTTTCCAAGCTCTGATTTCTTTTGACTGAATCTATTGAATTGGTGACTGTATTACATAAAGGGGTTATTACAGAGTAGCTTTAAATTGCTGCCACTGTAATGTATCCAAAGCAAGCTCCTGCACTTCAGAATGCTGGTTCAATCTGTTCATATCTACTGAAATCTGTGTTTAAATTTAAGGTCCAGTCTAAGCGTTTACAGGAGTGCATTTCAGAGGAAAGATCAATAATCTGTATCTCTGTTCCACTGTTATTTGTTAGGTATTACACCAACAAGTAAATTATCCCCAATGTTTCTGATCATAATTTACTATTTCTAATTTTTAGGCTAGAAAAAGAGTACACTACAATAAAGACAAAAGAAATGGAAGAACAAGTTGAAATTAAAGTAAGGAGCCCTCAACAAATTTATTTATGAATAAGTTTAATTCCCAGATGGGGGTATTACAAGTTTGATCTCTGCATGTAGCAGGACATAATTAAGGTTCCCAAATTATTTTCTTTCAGCATTTATATTTATTTGGGATGTTTGTTCATAAAGGACATCTACAGTGAAATTATTGAGACTTCTGGTGGACATTTAAAAAAATTCTCTGGGGACCTGCTGTACTTATTCTTTTAGTATTTCCTGCGGACAACAGCTTAATAATAGATGCTCTCATTTATCAGAGGTTCTAAATATGCTGGCTTAGATGTTGGTGCTCCACACAGGAGGTTTGTATGACACATTAGGATAGACTTCATAGAGTGCACTTGAGTGTTTTGTCTTTGATTTTAAGATCTTGATTTTTCTTATGCATTGGACCCAAATTGTGGTATCTTCTGTCTGCAGCCACTTTTTCTTTTGGAGCTTTTGCAGTTTATACAAACTGGGAGGGGTGAGAGGGAAGCCAAGATGCCAGTGGAGTTTATTTTTCCTTTTTTACTAACTGACCTAATTCCTATATGTACTTAAGCACTGCATCTTTTTGCTTTTGAGACATAAATAGGCTTTTGATGCCTTTTTTCCCTATTTCACTTTTTTTTCACAGCATGTTGTTTGATCTGGATTTTTTTCCTTGTATTTTTAGCCAGTTCTGTGAGAAAGGACAGTGGGAGAAATGATGTGGAAGTATATTATATAAAACTCTGTTGAGGGACTTAGGTACAGCCTTCCTTCTTCCTGTCCACTGCTGGTCATTTTGTCTTTCAATATCAGTTTTCAGAAAAATGGCTGTGAGATGCACCTGGGAGCACAAAGGTATTAGGAGCCTTTTCAGGCAGTTTATTGTACCAGGTAGTGAGACAGTTAACAGCATGAATACCTGCTGTAACAGCAGCTCAAATCAGATTTGCAAGGCTCAAATGACAGCTCTCTGCAGAACAGGACAAAGTAAAACCATATGAAAGACAACTGTAACTTTAGAGTCTAGTATATGAACTCATTTCAAATCCTTTCCTGCTTCTTGCCACCATCCCCCCCCAAAAAAAAGGAGAAAGCAAAAAACCTCCCCAAAACAAAAGCCATGAAGCCCACTCCAACAAAAAGCAACCAAAAAATCCCAACCAAACAATGCAAAGCTATCTGATTCTAGGCCCTATTTTGGCCTAGAATTAATATGTAAATAATTTCTAGGCCCTGTTTTGGCCTAGAATTAATGTGTAAATAATTTCTGACTTTAGCAGAGCTGCTTAGCAGAAGAGACTATGTTAGGAGAGATAGAAAAAGAACCATATTTTGAGTTTGCCTTTTAGCCTGACAGAATAAAGCATTTACTGAACTGATATCCAATGCCCTGTTCTGAGGAGTACAGATCTCTTCTATCTGAATGCTGACTGCTAAAATTTACAGGAAGTGCACTTCTAAAATATAGAGTCCATTACAAGTCTTACTTCTGGGACATTTGATGTTATTCTCAGTATAACCTTACAGATTGATATAAATTCTTTTGAGGAAAGGGAAGGGAGACCTTGTAGCTGCCTCATTAGCCTGTCCTACTGTAGAGAGTGCACTGTCATGTCCCTTAAGCATGAAGACTTTGACTCTTTATGATGGGGAGGCTGTCAAGTCGGGTGTGGGGTTAAGCCCTATGGTTCACCTGCAGACATACAGCTTTGAGCAAATGCAACATAGATGCTTTTGCATGACACAAGATGTGTTCTCGTTTTTGTTTTACCAAGCTGTTTTAAACTCATATTTTGAGCCAGTACATAATATGAAAGAATGTTAAGAAGGTCAGAAATTATTTTCATATTTATATTGATTTTCTTGGATGTGATGAGATAAAAATGTTGGTAGTTTGCTTTGGTTTTATCAGACTTTCAATTAATAACTTGAGAAATGGATTTGTGAACTGTTTGTCTTCCAGAGGTTACGAACTGAAAATAGACTCCTAAAACAGCGCATTGAAACACTAGAAAAAGTAAGTATGTTGGGGATTAGATTTAATCTCTGTTAATTTAGACTTTATTGATTGCAATTTCGTTATATGAAATGGGAATCTCAGAATGATAGTTTGCTGTTTTCCTGATAATCTCTGGTGTTTACTAGCAGTGCTTAGCCAAATAACATGGCTATTGCCAAGCAATTAGGGTCAATGCTTAAATATGTAAGGTTATGTCTACTTCTTAGTGCTTAAAAAATCAAATATTTTGACATAGCCAGCTTGTGTTGTACTGTTTTCTTTATGAATTAGAAGCATATATTCGAAATCCAGAAGACTCCATGAAATAGTGGACTGTTTGTTTGGGAAAAAAGTCATTGTGAGAGAATCCTCAGTTTGGAAAATCTGAAGTTGCTTGGTGTTTTTATGTAGGAGCAAAATGACAGACCTACCAATGACCAGAGAGAATTGCAGCATTTATACATTTATACTGAGAACAGGAACACTGCCATTCATTTGTTCTATGTGGTTTTGAGGTTTTGTGGCAATTTTGGGTACCTGATGGGGAGAAAATCTAAAGACTTACTTCTCTTATGTTTAGTCTGGAATAGAGTTTCGTTAGGCTTTTTGATAACTGACTGAAACTTCAAAAGTATGCATGCGGATTGCTGTGGATATGTTGCCAACTGTTCTGCAGTGGCCTCTGCTGTATCCTGGTATCACACTTCCTGTGGCAGATTGCATCTGAGCTGCTCTGCTCAGGAATGAGAGCATGCCTGTCCACCTTAAGCACTAGTAGGGACCATCTTTCAACAAATGGGATTGAGTGCTCTTGTGAGTTACAAACAATTGTTCACATTTCACAGGGAAGAAAATGATAACATTTCAGTTAAGAGTGACATGATTGAAAGACGTCACATTTAGGATGTTAAATCCCACTGCAATTTCTTGAAAAGAAGTTTATGTCAAATTCTAATTAACTGGTTTCAGAATTTAGTTAAGAAAAGACAACATAATGTCATGTTGTGAAAGTTGTGACCAAAAATACAATTTTATGAACATTTTTGGTTCTAGTATTGGAGATTTATAAAGTGAATGGAAAAGAATAGGCTCTCTTTAAGAAGCTTGAAACTGTAGTGAATCATTTCAATGACCTTGGTAAATATGTAATATTTATTATCCCTGTTTTATATTTAACTTGTAGAGGTTTGAAATATTTTCTTTGTTTTAATTCTGAAGTCCAGTATGAACTGCCTCATGCTAGTGCCTTTGCAAATTCTCTGCTTAGAATTTCAGAATTCACCTTCAGGTTATCCCAATCTGATTGGAATTAAAATAATTCAAAATTGGACAATGTTATCTATTAATAAGAATTCCTGAATATAATTATCATCGCAGCACTTGAAAAACAATAGTGTGAAAAATACATTAAAATCTTCTGTTAGAAAATACTTCTCCATCATTCAAACCCATTGATTTAGTTGTGATTTCCTTAGTGTACCTTAACTTCTAAAAAATAGCTCTTATCTACTAGTTTGAACTTCAGTTTTAATAAAAGCTTCAAGGACAAAGGTCTATGAATAGATGTATTTCTCTGTTGTAGAATGTTCAAAAAATTCAGTGGTTTCAGGGGTGATACAGTAGAAATTAATTAAATGCAACTGCTGGGTGGTAGGGCTTGTCAGTGTGCAAAAATGATTTTATTTTTGCAAAGATTTAGCAACAAAAGAGAATCTATTAACTACTCAATGAGTTACTGCAAGAGTTCAGTAAAACAGAACATTAGCTGTCATAGTTGACGTTCCCTACTTGTCTGTCAGTTTGCACCATTTAACTGCCCTGCTTCATCTTAGTGGAAGCTGTAGTTCTGCATGAGTGCCTCAGTGCTTATTGGTGGAGTTCCCTCTGTGCTCAAATTATGCCTTTGTTTCATGTTGTGGGGGAACTGTAGATTGTGTCTTGCATCTATGTATTCGATCCTATCAGATAATGCTTCAGTAACTTTAATTAATTAGGGAAGCAAGCCGTTCAAATAAAAGCACCCAATCTCCTGTAGGTGAATTTAAAATGTTACAAAAATCTGGCTTTGAAACCTTTTTGTATCACAGATGAATTGTGTTAAATCTGTTGCAGAAAAGGCTGCTTCCTGGGGCCTTTGGACAGAGTTGCCTTCATTTATATGAAGAGTTGTTAATTTTGCAAAAAAGTTTGCACAAAAAATGGGTAGAATTTGGGCATTTTCTTTCTATCAGCTCTTGGTCTTTTTTGTCACTATTATCAGCCCCTTGTATTTTGGTTTCCCTTTTCCTCATTCCTATCTAAATTTTTCCTTTGTAGGAAAGTGCTTCCTTGGCAGATAGATTGATACAGGTATAGTCTTTTAGTCTTTTACTGTATGACTCTCTTCCTACTTATAAAAAACCCAACTGCTTTAATGCATGCATTTTTGCATGCTGTATTCTGTCCCTGCTTTGCTGATTTGGAATAAATACAGAGCTAATGCATCTTGCTAGAAACTTGTTTGTTTACTAAAAATATATAAAACCAATACCTGCACGTTATAGTAATTTTCCTAACCTATTGTAATTTTTTGTACAAATTCCTGTGGCAGATAGATTCTATGACACTGTATTAACAATTAAATCGAATATTGTGAACGTCAATCTGTGCATGTACAACTGAGTAATAATGCATGAAAGGAATTTTACTGAATGCAAGTACAAAACTGTGCTTGCTAAATGGATGCTAAACTTTGTAATAAAGTACTAAAGCAGCTGTTTAGTACTACTTGGTCCTAAAATTTCTACCAATTGTACTCTGTGCTGTTTGCAAAACCAATCTGATTAAAAAAAAGCTATGCATCACAAAGGCAGTTTTCCTTGGATTTGTCATCAAGTGCTTAAAAAAATAAATTATGTCCTAAGGGACAAGTGACAAGGGCCCAGGAGGCTGAGGAAAACTACCTCATAAAACGGGAGCTGGCCACCATCAAACAGCAGAGTGATGAGGCCAATACTAAACTGGAGCAAGCTGAGAATACCATCAGGGAGCTCCAGCAACAGCAGCAATGGGTAAGGAGCCTGGCAGCACATCATCTCATTTTTTACCCTCACATGTGTTTATTTTTCCTCATCATTATATGACATGGTCTCTGTGCTGTCTTTGTAAACCCCTGTTCATTGTGATTTGCATTCTTAAAATTACCCAAATTGGATTAAATGAAATTTCACTCTGTTCTACTGATAGATGAGATTCATAACCCTGGATAGGTGCAAGTTATGAGTCAATTAAAAAAAACTGAACAACATATCCACAATGAAACACACCAAGCAAAAAACTAAAAAAAACCCAAAACCCTTCCACCACAAAAAAAATACTAACAAGAAAACCACACATATGAACTCTGATAGCTCTGAATGCTAAGAATCTAGTCATTGCAAGTTGCGTCACTCTGAATATTCAAATTTGAGAATTGATTCACAGTGCCCTTACCTAGTGCATAATTTAAGTCAGTTTCTTTCATGTTAATGTTTCTTCTGTGTACCCATATTTGTTTTCTTCCAAGTATACTTAAATTTACTGCTTGCTGAAGTAGAAGAGTATCATCCCTGATTTTGGAACTACAGAACTTGATTAAAAAGTATGGGTTTATGTGCATATGGAGAAGGAAAATAAACTTTAGTAGCCTTTTATGATGCTGTATTTGTGTGCACTCTGTGTTTTAGGTAGTAAAATGTTCAAGACTTCTGACTGTTGCTGTAACACTGAAGTTACTTTCCCTAAGACACTTGAAGTGCTCAGTATCTTCTCTTTGGGGGGACAGGGGGAAGCATTTTAGCATCTTCACTTGCTGAATAAACTGTGCGTTACTAGTGTTGATGTGAATGTCTCCGTATTGTTTTAAATCACTGGTATCCAAGTACTTGTCTGGAGTTGGGAATTTCAGGTGTATGAAATACAGCTTACTAGAACTGAGTATATTGCATCTCCTTACCAGATTTCTTAATGTCAGTATGGCAGTTTGTTTTACATACCTTCCACCAGAGCTCTAGAAATACCTGTCTCATATTGGAAGGTAAAGATGACATTTACTGTTAGACTGAAAAGAAATCACAACTTAAATGCAACATTCTAGAACTAGTTTATTACATCTGTTTAATGCGTTTCAGTGTAAAAAAGATACATATTTTAGAATAGTTGTAAGAAGTGCTTAATGAGCTGTTACTCTCTCATGTGAAATACTGCTTTATATAGAACTTGAACAATTTCTTTAGGGGGAAAAATATGAAGAAATTATGATTAGCAAGATGGGAATGGTCTAGTAATGCTTTCCAACACTTTTAGATATGAATCTTTCAAGTGAAATACGAGAAGCATTTATAGACATTTGGATATCCAGCTGTTTTATCCAGCTGTATTGTCTGATTACAGTAGTATACACACCTTTGGAATGTATTTTTTAGAGGCATCCATGTTAATGACCTGCATGCAATTAAAAGTTATTAGAAGACCAAGACACTATATTTATTTATTTGTTAATTGGTGGGAATATGACTTTTAAAGCTAATGCCTTTATGCTGAGGACCTTATCAATGATGGGGAGGCCTGACAGGCTGCCTAGGTATAGGAACTGATCCCGTGCAAAACCTTAGATAACTGTGGATTGCAAATGTGGCTGGTTGGAGCTGTGAGTGCAGACAACTGGTTAATTACTGCAGGAGTGGAGAGTAAGTTAAATTATGACCACACTTCCTTCTTTCCATGCTTGCAGCATTGTTTTCCTCTGCTTAATTGTGAACGTGGCTATAGGAAGTTGTCTATGTGTGTGGCACTGAGAATGTAAATCCATATCGTTATAGACAGATTTGTGCCTAATAATAATACTTGTGTTGGCTTATTCTGAATTGCAAGGAATAGCACTGTGGCTTTAAGACCCACCAGAATCAGACAACGGGGTGGAAGTGGTGAAATGGTTTAAAAGTGAGGAGCATTTGCTGGATCCTGTCCTTTAACTGTTTCCAAGGTTGGGAGTGGGAGCAACAAATGCAAGCAGCTGCGTGCATTTAGGGCGCCACCTGGTGGGAATGCATGGATTTGTTTGGAATGTTGGCCTTTTACACTGGTTAAGTTTTTGCCACTTGCTACTGCCAGTAGCTTTGTTCTTGGCAATCCTCTTTTTCAGTATTGTCTTGCGAGTGTCTACTTTAATGTTTTCTTCTCTAATTATTTCAGCTTTGTTTATTGTTAACAAAAATGATTGCACTGTAAACTTGTAAATCACTGCATAGTTTCTGTGCTTATGTAAAGATACAGCATCTATTGTATATATTTTATCATCTACATCTTTCTCAGTCTTGAATTGTCTGTTTCACCATGATAAAAAACTGTAATGTTTGGATATGAATCTCCGAATAGAACTGCCTAAGGGTACTTACAACAGCCTCTTCTGAACAACAGTGTGGGATTAAAAAAAACCCCACTGTTTTGTTGGTAGCAAAAAATTATCAAAACCGTAGTATTTCTAAGAAGGTTAACATATCCTTTGTAAAAAGGTTATGCATTTGTATTTGAGTATTATCGAGGGTTTATGCTATCTGTTCTATGAGATTGGATAGTATAGGTTGGATGGCTTAAGGGTAAGTATTGAAAGTACTTACTGGATTTGTGTCTGAAGAAATTCTTCCCTGCAGCACTTTCGAATACAGAGATGGGTAGAGGAGTATTCTTTTGATCAAAGCCCAACATCAGAAGCCCAAATTACATACAAGTTTATTTTTTCCTGTGCTAAACTATTTATGGGGAGTTTTTAGTTGAACCAGAAAGACTTCATTATGAAGTGTGGAGTCTTCTTAAAGAGGTAATCATTATACTAACGAATGATACTAATCTCTCTTTGGCTTGTCAGGTCTTTAAATGTGGAAGCTTGCCAAAGGCAAGTCATGGTGTGTTACCAAGTGGTTAAGAGGAAGGTGGCTTCTTCCTCATACTGCTGGTAAATCAAGAACTGCATAGAGGAAGTTTTGCCTGACGTGAAGGAAATGCAGAGTTTTCTTTTGAGGCATGCTAAGAGCAATGGTATTTGAGCAATTAGGGGAAAGGGTAATCAGCCTGTTGTAAGTTACTCCTGATAATTATGTGCTGAAGGTTTTATTCTCTGTTCTTTTCCCCCTTGTGTTTCTAAATGAAAAGGGTAGCTCCTTGCTGGATGTAAACACCTCCAGAATGCAAATCTTGTCTTTCCCTGTGACATTGTAATTGTCAGTGATTACCCAGTTCATCAGTCTGAATGCTTTAAAATTGAATCTGATAAACTGGAGGCTAATCAAGCTAAAATTAGTTCGCATCTTATTTTTAAATAGGCTCTTCAGCTATATTATGTGAAGATAGAATTTTAATTGACTAAGCATTCAGATGGAAGCATATGCATTTTGCAAGGTAATTTATAGTGATGTATTTGGTTATTGTTACAGCAACTTCATAATGCATAGTTTCTTTTCAGGAACTCATGCTAAAATGATTGATAATAATTAAGAATGCAGTAATTGATACTGGAAATATATGCTTTTTAATGAGTGTTGCAACTTGATGGAAGACTTCACTTTATTTTGCAGTATACTTTCCTAATACTGTGTTCTGATTTGCAACAAAAAAGCAAAAAATAAGAATACTGTATTTAGGGAAGTACTACAGTTAGTGCTTAAATGTGTAAACAAAGTTAGCTGGGAACTGCTGAATCATCTGTTAATTGCTCTTCAGTATAGTGTACTGGAGAAACATTGTGTAATTATATCTGTCATCAGCCAAAATAATATTTGGTATGGTTATGTTTAAGAAAAGTTATATGAAGCCCAGCAAGGACTTGTTTCTTTCAGAATTAAATGGCTGTGGAACTACAGTTTTAGTCCTTTATATTACTTCTATCTCTTCAACATAGGAAAGAAAGTGTTACTGTGGTTAAAATGTTTGGTGCCTGAAAGTCTGTATTTGTGCTGTGGCTTTTGTCAGAAATTCTAGGGCTTAAGGCAAATATATAAAAGCAGATCTTTTTCCTGCAGTCAATTTAAAAGTAGTTTTCAAACGCTGTTTTAGCTATAAACTTGTGTTACTTTTATATATTAAATTATCAAAATTGTGCTTTGTTTTACTAGGTAGCAAAATGCACAACTTCTAGTTTGTGAATCTTGATTTCTTCAGTCTTTTGATCTTGGCTGTAGTTTTTTGTGTATCAAGACTTGATTTAGAGTTTGTTGTGGCTAAGTAGATAAGTACTCTTAACATATTCCTTAGGCAGGCAAAATCTAAAGACAGATTTAAAGAAGGCATGGTTCATGCTTGAAACTGGATTAATAACTTTTCTTACATTCTCCATTACTAATTATTTGATAAACATCAATTAGATTTTTATACAATACACTTACATTATTGCAAAATCAGCAGGTTCTTCAAATCTGCTGTGTTCTCTCAATGTCCTGGAGAACACTGCATTTGTATTCATTCTGTATGTATCACAGCCAGGAATCTAGAATATGAAATGTAGAGTCCATCTAAGTTGCTGTGTGTGTCATGGGATGGACCTGTACAAACAACCAGGGAATCAAAAAGAGTGGTTGCTTCTTCTCTGTCCCTGCATGGTGTTACATATGGTACTTGTGTTGCTACATGAGGTGAAGCAACTGTAGAAATGAATTAGCATTGTTCACCATCCTCTTCCTTACACTCAAATCAGGTCTGCCTCCACCGCTTGCAGAGGCAAGAACACTGTGTGGGTTGAAAATAATAGGAATTCGATTAGTATTGTATTAGGGGAAAATTAGTATTCACGTACAAGGATCATACTGTGTCTGTGTTCCATGTGTGTTCAGGTGCACACAGTATGCACTGACACTAAAAACTGCCTGCCTGAGCTGCCTTTGCCTTTTAATGCTTTGTACATATCCCCTCCATTACAGCTTCCTGTAGGCACATATATACAAGAAATATAGTAACACTAAGAGTAGAGTGTACATTTTGAATTTGGATTGTACTGCAAGTCTTGACAAAAGGTTTAATTGGCATGCAGAAATATAAAAGCAAATGAGAAAAATTCCTTGGCCATATAGTTACATTAAATCCTTGTTTTGTCCTGTTTGCCTTTTATTTGTACATAAAAAGTCAGGGAGTGTCACACCCTAACAGAAGCCTGTGGAATTGAAGACTTCCATTCATTTTTTTACTGTTTTTTAGATGCAGAAAACTAAATTGTTTGATGCAAACATAATGTAAGACACAGCTGTATCTTTAGTATAATGAACAAGCTTTAAAAAAACTGAATCTATGAATCCAAGCATAGTACTTATATTTCACAATGTAGTTAATGACACCAAAAATATATTATTTTCCTCTAAATGTGATTTTCAGGGTAGCTATGTAAATACAGTAACTAAACAACTATGGTTTGAGGATTTCAGCACCCACTTTTTTCTTCAATCAGAAATTTAAAGGCTGATTTAGGTTGGTGTTGCCTATCAAGCAAGTCTGACAATCTGTCAAACTGCCAAGTCATTTTGAAGTGACCCAGGAAAGAAATAATATGTATTTTTTTACTATTTATTGGGAGGAAAAGTTAAGAGAGTCTTTTGAATAAGTGCTTCAGTTGGATATATCTGAATCTCGGAAGGAATATCTAGAGTGTGAGCAAATGAGACCCAAGAGGTGGAGTAAAGAAAAGAGCAAACTAAAGTAATTGTGCATTGCAGCATATGTAGTTTTATTTTAAAGCCAAGATTATGGAAGGATTCTGTTGAATTGGAGTTCAAGTTAACAAGGATTGGGTGATAATTGTACTAACCTTGTAATCAGTTAGTCTTTCCCAAGCATCTTTTTCTGCAGATCACAAAATAATCAGATTGTTTCAGAATCTTTCAATTTGGTTGACAATGAGAGAAAAGTGTGAGTTGCTGCTTGTCAGTACTTGTAGGGGGGTCTCAGTTTTGTCAGACACATTTGACTGTGTGGAGGTGCAGTTGTTTAAGAGGCAGAACAGTAGGGATATGTTTGTCAGCAGTCTGGATTGACATTAATAGACTTGTATATGGTAAGCACTTACGCTGGTACCCTTGATACTAAACATTTGAATGTACTTGTCCCACCAAATCTGGTATATAAAACCCCTTTCAAACAATACCTCATACTAAACATATTTCTGCAAACTTTGTAGCATAAATGCAGTTCACGATACAGTGAAGACTTTGTGCTACAGCTGGAAAAAGAGCTGGTCCAAGCCAGGCTGAGTGAAGCAGAATCCCATTGTGCCCTGAAGGAGATGCAAGATAAAGTTCTAGAGATGGAAAAGGTAAATCAAACCAGGACCCTCTATATAGAACAGCACTAGAAACAGACTACAGGTCCCTGTCATTCCTAGCAGAACTGTGCTCTAGAACCTTCTCTTCTGTGCTTCTGTGATTGCAAGATGCTTTTCAAACCTGAAAGTACGACAATAAAACAAAGGTCTGCTTGCACTAGGAAAGATTTGTGAATAACTGATCACTTTTCTTCTATTCCTGAGGCCTGCTGTAGTGGAAAGATTTGGATTCTGGTGAAGTCCTGACAGGAAACATCAATTGTTTAAAAATTATATCCTGCAACAAGAGCTTTGGACTTAGAGTGAGCATTGAGATGATGTGAAACTAAATAGTTTGGAAGGGGAAGAAGAAAGGGCTCAATAATTACCATTCCCATGCAATTATGGACAAGGACAGAATCTCTTATCCTTTCACTGCTCAGTATCAGAATTTCTACTGCTTTTTGGGTGCCATGCTAGCTTGTAATTTATTGATGCCAGAGTTCAAGCTGTACTCAAACCTACTGTCAAATATTTTCCTTTATTTGAAGCAAAATTTAACTGCAAGATAAAATAGCAGAAAAAAAAAAACTCAACCAAGAAACAATAACTGACCTGGTATAAAGCATGTTTTTCAGATCCTGTTGTACTGACTTTGGAATTAGTTTCCTTAGGAAATTTTAATGAGCTATATACCCAGGCTTTGGCTAGAACTTAGGAGCTAATTAGATTAACCCACTGGAGTCAAGATTTATTTTTCAGTGATCTGATGGGCTTAGTATTAGTAGTGTGGTAGTTTTTACTGTATTGACCATTGGTAAAAATTCAGGATATAAAGTACTTTTCAAAATTCAGGAGACTAATCTTCATCAGCATGGAGACAGCATACAATGAAAACTTATCTGTGAATAAAAACTGGACACAAACTCAGACATACAGTAATATTTCAGTCTGTCATGATGAACTTATGCTCATGAGAAAGTGGCTGAAGTGAACTCTCTCAAATTCCTCCAGTATAGCTCTTTACTGCTGTAAGATGAGTCGTGCAATCTGGGGAGGTTCTGCTGAATAACCCGAGACTTGCATGGCCACAATGACAGTGCCATAAATATTCAGAAACATACCCTCTCATTTCCTTTATTTACCAATACTTAGATCCCAAAATTCCCATTGAATGCTAATCAGTGGCTGTTGTGCTGTGTTCTGTTAATGTTAATCAGGTGCTTTACTCAACTCTCAAGAAAACCTGACAACTGTCCCAGTATTATACATCTGCAAGAACACTTGATTTTGTTGAAAACATCTATGGGGAAATAAAGTAGAAAGTGATGAAGAGCAGTTCAGATTTGAATATTTGGTGACCAGTGATTTGTTGTAGGGATATTGTAGACATTTTCTTCCCCTCTTGTTTTTCTCCCATATTTCCATTATTAGAATTTCATCTGTTTTGCTTTTCCTGGTGTTTTCATGTTTTCTGCTTGGCCTTCTCTCACCTTTCTGATCTTTCCTTATGTGTCTTGCACTTTCATCTCTAAGACCTCTTGACTGGTTGTTGTTTATAAATATTAACAGATGCTTCCTTTGTCAGCATTTCTGTTCTCCTTTTCAAAGGCTGATAACCTACTTCCTAAAAAATGAATTTCCATTTATTATTTTTCCTGTAAACCTGTAAAGTTACAGCTTTAAAGTGTAATTTCAGTTCCTTGTTGCTTTACTTTTTATCAACTAGATCAAAACCTTTCAAATTACTCTCCATATTTTGATGGTGTGTTCAAATATTGTAAATGTAATCTTTTGTTAGGGATACCATTCAGGGAAATCTTGAAGTCAGAATACCTAGAACTACTACCTTATAAATTTTTTTTTGTAGCTGGCAGTTGGAAGTTATTTATACACACTCACGATATGCAGAAGCTTAGATTTTTTGATGATTTTTAATTTGTAGAGGATGTGCATTTTTAAAGTTTTCATAGTTATTACATATCTATGTTCTTAGACTGGATTTCACTGAGCACAATTTTATTCAAATACATATTTAAGAGAATGCTCCTTGTTGCAGAGGAACAGCTCCCTCCCTGATGAGGAAAATGTTGCCAGACTACAAGAAGAACTGATCGCAGTAAAATTAAGAGAAGCAGAATCTTTGATGGGTCTCAAAGAACTAAGGCAGCAAGTCAAAGATTTGGAGGAACACTGGCAGGTATGGGTAGCAATACACTTTTATGAATTTTTGTTTTCAATGATGAAGCGTAAAACTATAAAATTTGGAGATACTGAGATCAAGTAGAAACTAATGGTTACGGATCAAACTGCTGAGGTGAGAAGATCCTTAAACTCAGCTGTTAAAAGACAACTTCAAAAGTATGTTAGAAATTGGTGCCTAGTTGTTATAGATGGCAGAGGGCCTGTGCTACCAGCTAACTGTGACAGTAGGAGGGAAATACCTGGTCAGTACTCCTAATTTGCTGCATGTTTAAAAGGGCTAGAAATAGACAGAAGTCTCAGGATATACTTGCAATGCACTGACTTAATGTAGTTGGGAATGAATTGGTTCAGTTTTTTAATTCTGTTCTTAAAACCAGTAAGTTTCCATGGGTTTCTAGCTTTTAGGCTCAACAGGGGAACTCTAGCTATTTGTCCTCATATAACTGAGACCTTAAATGAAGTAGGGAAACACCAGGAATGATCAGGCATAACCAGCAAAACCATGTGTTTTTCTAGCGTCATCTAGCTCGTACCACTGGCCGATGGAAAGATCCTCCCAGAAAAAACGCAGTGAATGAGCTACAGGATGAGCTGATGACAGTGCGGTTGAGAGAAGCAGAAACTCAGGCTGAGCTGAAAGAGACCAAACAAAGAATGATGGAGGTGGAGACACAGGTACATTATTGAACACTAGGATGTGTGACTTGAGCTGGATGCTAGCAGTTTGACAAATGGTAGATACCTGATGATGATCTTCACTATCTACAGGCAGCACTTCAGTTCCAAAATGTGGGATGTCTTTGCTTCTGTTAGATGGGGATGGGAGAATCTAGTCCATACAGTTCAATTTTAATGTCTCCTCTTTAATCTTTTTCAGGACTATACTTCCTGAATTTCTAATTGGGGTTAGTTGATAGACACTGAATGTGTGTGCATCTTAAGTCAATAAATTTTAACAGGTGTAATAACAAGAAAAGTATGTTTAAGGTGTTTTAAATTTCATAAATCTAATTGGCAATTCTGATAATAGGAATGTTTAGATGGCACTATGTGCATTCGTGTGGTGACATTGGTGATTCACTGTGGACTCAGCAAAGCAGCTGTGTATTGGTCAGAGTTTTTTAGCACGGGGTTTGCCTTTAATGGGCCGGAATAGAAAAGCATGGGTTACACCTGCTGAGGTTTGTGCAGAAAATACAATCATACCTTGACTGCCAAGATTCTTCTTGTGTAGCTAGGGAATAAGTTGCTAAGCTCCTGAAATGAAAATGCACTGAAGTGGCGAGTTCACATTGTATTAGTAAACTTTCACTCAAGTTAATAGACATAATGTGCTGATGATTGAGAAGGATTTGTAAGAGGTTTCTAAGAAATCTTCCCATTAAATACCTGCTAAATGTTACTTTTAGAAAGAGATTATGCACCCAGAAAGCTAAATGAACAACAGCTTTACTTGAAACTGTTCAGCAATTCCAGAAACCAGGATAGCATGTAAGGATGTGCTATTGAAGACAGATTAACCAACTGCAAGGCATAGGAAGGCTTCTTTCTGACAGAGGCACCACTTCGTCTATACCAACTGAACACGTTTCCTCTTGCCTTACCTTTTAAAAATGTCACTGACGTGTCAGTATGTTTTTGGTCAGTAGGGGGCGGAGAGATACTGCTGTTTGGCTCACGTGTATTCAGGTACTTCTCACTTCAGTGTTCCATAGAGTCTTTGTATGTGCTTAGGCTGTTCAGCTGTCGTCTGAGAAGAATGCCATTCTCCTGGTACAGTGTGCACAGCTTCAGGGACAAATGCTGTGACTTGTAGTTATGCACTGATCTCAACTAAGGTGCCATGTTGCTTTCAGGAATTCAATGGACAGGGAAATGTGCACAGTATTTTTGACATACCTGATCTTTCCTGGATGCGTAAAGTAGTTGGGAATACAAGTTCACAAAATCTGCCTTACCTAGGCAAGAAATTGGGAAAACAGATCTACTGAAATGTGGTGGAGCTTTGCAATAATGTTATTAAAACGAGTCATCTGTTTAAGAACAATTTGAATATCCTAGTGATAAAATGTCATGCAGTCTCTTCTGATTACACATGGAAAACTCTGAATGCTTTTTATAAAAAGTTTTTAATGGTAAATCATCTCTAAGTCTGTTTTGTCAGACTTCAGGGAGTTAGATTCATATCCTTTCCTTAACATGTATTTTGTTTCCTTTTTTGGGTCATAAATTCAGAATCAGATCAATAGTAATCACTTACGAAGGGCAGAGCAAGAGATTGCCAGCCTACAGGAGAAAGTGCAGTATCTTTCTGCACAGAACAAAGGACTTCTGGCTCAGTTGAATGAAGCAAAGCGTAGACAAGCAGAGATTGAATGCAAGGTAAACGACATCCTGAAAAGAATATTTATGTGCTAATATATATACACATTTTAGTCTTGTCTGCCATTATTGGATAAAATAGTGTCTTAACTGAGAAGCATAAATCATAAAACCAGATTTCTTTTTACTGATTTTGACAATATCATTTTGAATTTACCATCTCACAAAAACCACTTGAGGTTTTGACACAGCTGCTTCTTTGTGGTCCCATGAAGATAAACATTTACTTCAGAGCATGGGCACTCTTCAACAACAAACTCTTCAGGTTTTCTTTTTTCTTACTGTCTTGCCAGTTCCATTTGTTTCTAATGGGATTTGAATGTACAGTGCTGCAAAGAAGTAACTTCTGCTGACTCATCAAACTCCATCACAAGCCTTTAGGAAAAAAGACACTGAATCTTAACTAGAAGAAATTGCTTCTACTGACTTTCTTGTTTGCCATAACCTCTGGTTTCCTAAGTACTATTTTTTTAATGCTGAGATTAATTTTACTGATTTTTTAAAATAATCATAATCTTGGTGATGCCTTTTTCATATAACCCATAACTTTGTTTGATGAATTTTTGATACTGAAGGTGCTCATTAATCCTTAAAATTGAGGATTGAGACTGTGTAGTCAATACTCTGGTTTTACATCGACTATATAAAGAGCAGTATGTCTTTAACCTGATTAATGAGTTAGTACACATAAGTATTCTCACTGGGATAATACATTTGTAGAACAATGTTCTAGCATGGGCTAGAGAAAAGTGTGACAGTAATAGAGCACCAGTCATACTCTTTAGAGATTCTGTGAAATTCTGAAAGCAGCTATGGTGAAGAGCCAGTGAAGTATCTTCACTGATATACACTAACATTAGATCCTGAAACTTGTTTTGCAGCTAATAGAAAAAGATTACAATTTACACTGTAAGATGTTTTACAAGTAATATTTGATTATATATCAAAAACAGCAACAGTTATTCCTGATCTCTGTTAACTGATATTGGATTATTTTTTTCTTCTGTTTTTTCAAGTTGTTTGAAATCATGCTCTAGTTTTATTTTTGTCTTGGCTAGGTAGCAATATTTCTACTGTCTCAAAAAGTATCAATTTGGATTTTCAACTCCAAATATATGAATAATAAACTGGTATCTTATTTCAGGAGCTTGTATTTTTCTTTTAAAAGATATCTTGAAATGCTTAAACAGAAATTAAATTTTTTGTAGCCAGTTGCATCTCATACCACCTGTACAGCAACTGGTTTTGCCACAGGTGTGTATTGTTATGTTTTTCTCTTTTTATCTGGCTACTTCTTCTACAGCAAGGACTCAATTTCAATTTTTTTCTTGAAACTCACCACTGATCTTTCAAATCAGATGTGCTTAAGAATTTGCAATTTAAGATTTGTGCCCCCAACCAATCTTGTCTTTCCTACCATATCACCTCCTGTGGTAATTATTGAGAATATGCTCTGTTTCAGAGATAAAGCATCAGTGCCATCTTGAGTAGCACTATTGACTCATCTCTGATACCAAAGTCAAACCAAGCCAGTCTTTCCTTCAGCTTTCAGTTAAATACATGCAATCCTGTGGACTTGTCGGTTTGGCTTCATTTGAGCAATCATGCAACAGAATTTAGCAAGAATAGCTAAACTTTGTCTAGCACATGATAGATTTCTCTGAAATGGGCTCCACTGATTAGAAATGCAGTTAATTGGGTCCTGTAAATTATAAACCTCCATTAGAGGAATATTTTAAAAAGAACCAAAACCAAACCAACAGCATGTTTAGAAGTAGCTACTATGGATAAGCTTTGACATGTTTGATTTTTATCTCAACTGTACTGTCTAATGAAGAGTGTTTGAGTACTGTTTGTTTGAAGCACACATTAAAATAACTGAGTACTGGAACTGATTTGCAGTAAATACAGTTCAGTTACACCAGTCTGCTAGAAAAGTAGGTGTAATCTGTCTCTCCCCTAGAGATGTTTGCTCTTCAGCTGATAGTATTGCTCACTAATTATCTACCACTGCTTTCTCTCTGTGGTACCAGGCTGCTGACAATATAATGTTGTTTTGTACTCTGAAGCCTTGAGGACTTGCCTCACGAAACAGGACATTTCTTTCTCTCTTTTTCAGACTCAAATTACCTATAATTTATAGACAGACTTGTAGGTTAAACTTACAGTGAGAGGCTGATTTTAGGTTATGTGCATTAGTATTTTATTCTGAAATGTCTTTGTTATATACTGTGACTAAGATAGCTGGACTAAATGAGAATGCTTTTGTATTTATTTTTTTTATTTTTTAGGACAAAAGAAATTATAAGATAAGTAACGCTTGTGTAGCTTTGTTGTTTCTCCATATATAAAGTACAAAATTAAAGCATGAGCTGGTTTCTTTTATAATGTAGTTTCTTTTTTTAAATTTACGGTATAATATTTCTGGAAAACAAGACAGTTGTTTTCTGGATCTTGAAACTGATAACAGCAAGTTTTCAAATCTGCACAGATTTTTTTTTTTAGATTACTATAGTTTAGAGTTTAAATTATATTTTTACATATTCCTCCTATGGGTTAAAATTAAATCAGAGTTCTTTAGAATAGTGGTAGTTTGCAGATCAGTGTATTAAGTTTTCTCAGGATTTTGGATAAAAGCAGTGCATAGTCTTTAATCAGCTAAAACTGGTACTAGTTAGCTCCCATTTCTGCCTTATTCCAGAGTAAAGAAGAAGTGATGGCAGTACGGCTCCGTGAGGCAGACCGCATTGCAGCTGTGGCAGAACTCCAGCAGCATATTGCTGAATTAGAAATCCAGGTAACAAGTGATGGCATTAAATGTGAAACTTGATACTGATTAGATTTTGTACTTTGTGTGTTTTTTGCTTCCTCTACCGTGTTTCTTCATTAGCCTACTGTGAATACAAGACACTGCTTTGCCAAGTGGGATAATGCTGTATTGCTGAATTCCTGTACAAGCAAAACCTTAAATCTGACTTGGGCATATACTTGTGAGCTGTTAATAATTCCTTCTATACAAATACCATTTACTCTTTTTAACTCTGATTTCTGTTTTTTTTTCTTGTAATTGGTACTTCTTGCCAATTAATAGATGAGATTGAAAACATCCTCTGACTAAAAAAAGATGTATACAATTTTGATTCCAGCAACCTTTTTTTTCTTCTGTGCTTACTCTTCTGCTATGATCCATGTTGAAGGATTTATTGTAAAACTCTTACTCCCTTGGAACCAGAAATATTTACTGCTCCCATGTCACTGTAGGATCTCAAGATGCATCCTTTGGCCTCTCTGTTGTTCCTTACACTTTCAGTTGCTTTTGGAGCTTTCACAGTCCCATGAACTTGCTGCTCCCTTGTTGAGAAAACCAAAGATTGCTGTGCTTTGTTTTCTTGGCTCTGAGAAATCATGTCTTACTGTAGTCTGACCTTTCTATAATCATATTATACTGTTGTCCTATCTGAATTCTGATGCTAAGATTTTCTTGGTTATTTTTACTAAGTTAGAATCTAGTTACTCTCTGGTTTACTTATTTTTAAACCTGTTGTTGCTATTGTGTTTCTCCCCTCTGAAATCTTTCCTTTGAGGTGATGATTTTATTATATTGTTTCAAAAGACACCTTTTCCCTATGATTTCTCATCTAATTGAATCTTTTTAATCTCTTCATAGATAGACTGTACCAATAAATGTCACTGAGCTTGCATAAATAATTTTTGCTATATTTCCTCTAGTGCAGCAGGCACTAAACTTACTGAAAGTTAAAGCAATCATTTCTTTAAATCATAAAATGCTTAGATAATGCTATGATCAGTACATTAGAAATACCTAGATAAGTATGGTAAGCATTGCATATGAATCATTTATCATCTAGTAAGATAACAAGAGAGGAGCTGAGTTAAGGTCAATCTTCTGCTCAAATTAACATTTTAAAGAAAGAGAGGGGAAGTTTAAAGGTTACCTCAAACAATGTGATTTTGTAGGTGAGAAGTGAGTACTCATTTTGTATTATTTTTACTTTAGCACAGACTTCAAATGCCATCCTGCTTCCATTATTTGATAGTCACATCTCTCAAAATGTAATCAGTATCTTATGAAATGGTGAATCCCCTAGTGATCAGTTGGAAATTTTTTGATAGCTGTCACACAATTCAAATTGTGTGTTCATTTTTCAGTGTAAATACATCTGACTTGGTTTTCTGTTGTTTAACTGATCAAACCATCCATTCTCCATTATTTTATTGCTCTCTCCTATTCCTTTTCCACACTTCTGCTTAACTTAGGGATTCCAGAATTGCATGTGGATTTTTATAATACCTTGTTGTGAGACAGAAAGAACTGCAGGAATGTAATCTATTTTATGACTCTAGCTAATACACCCAAAGATCATACTGTTTCTGTTTTGTCATAATATTGCACTCTCTCAGGTTCAGTTGTTTATCCACATAATCTCTCCTTCCTTTTCACAAGTGCTACTTTGCACAATGCAATTTTTTGATGTTTCATTATTATAGGTTTTTTGTTTCCTTCCAAAAGGCATTTCAAGTCCCAGACTTAAAGGTATTCTCAGATTATCACCTGCTAATGATTTCTTGAGTTTGATTTTAGTAAAATTCTTGATTTTCTTCACAAAAGTGAGAGTGGCTGTGCTTTCTTTGTATACAGTGTGGAGTATGAAGTCACTTTGTGGCTTCATTTGAGTTTGCACTGCTAGGTTTTTGGTGAACATCTGATTTCAGACTAGCAGGAAAAATAATTTCTTCAATTGTGAAATACAGATTTTAAGTGTGAACTATAGTATTTCAAACAAATAATTTAGCAGAATTAAGTTCTGCTAATATATTTTTTTTTTTTTTTGAAACTGTAGACATTACTTGGAACACTTTTATTGAACTGTGATAGATGTTTGGGTTTTTTAAAGAGTCTTAGTGGATATTTTTCACCAGTGTGTTTTGCCAGCAAATACGAAAGTTATGATCAAAACTTCTTTTTTGGGTACTCATGCTCAAAAGCATGAGGCTTTTCAAACACCCGTACCAGAAGAAATGTAATAATAGAATTGGAAATCCTGAATTCCCAAAGCTTGTCAACTATAAAACATACAATTGATAATAGGGATTAAACGTAAGCGAATTTTAAAGGAGATTGAAAATCTAGATAACTTCTTCCTCACTGGAGAAAGAGCTGCCTCCCACTCTATTCTGTTCAGCTTGTAACCAGGCGACAGATGTAATTGCTGTCACATGATGTGGGGATCAGAGGCTCTTTTAATCAGGACTTGCCTTAACGATTTGAAATGCAATATTTAATATGAGAAATACATTTAGCAAGTCTTGGAGCATAGCACCATGATTAAAATACAGATGCACAGAGCATCACAAATAGGTCTGCTTGTCATGCTGTTTCAAAGTTGATAAAAATGAAGGGAGGAAGTTAACCTACCACATAACCTTCCCTTTTTTTCTGAGGGGGGTGGTGCTTTTCTAAGAAGCTCAAGGGATTCATCGCCAGGTCCACATGGGCCATAGCAACACTTAACCTAAATCGCAAGGTTTTCTTTTAAAAGTTTATGTAGGTGTAGGTGCAAGACAGTGATGTTAAATTTGTAATGCAGAGTATCAGTACTCCCACATAAGAACTGATCTGACATCACACACACACATGCTAGATTTAAATCACAGTTTCTGGGTCACTCTTAGTTTTGGTTACTAATAATGACAGGGATGGAGAGTGAACTATCGTTCAATGAAAGATGTAATTCTGCAACAAGTTGTCAGTTTATTATGTTGTAAATTTTTTTTCTTAATATATTCTAAATGTCACCTTGTCTTGTCTGAGCATTTAGTTCACAATGCTGAGCTTTTAAACTTTTGTGTAAGTATATTGAAATGCAATGAGTTATCCAATACATGATGAACATTCTAAGTCTTTAATTTAGACTTTCTGTGCAAAAATAGCATGGAATTGAAATTAACTGAAATTTAACTTATGTGGCACATACCTAAGCCCCAGTTATAACCCTGTTTTGTGGAAACAAAGGTTTACTTTGTCAGCATAAGACATCTATCATGTCTTTAATTTTCTTTCACTTGCCAGTTCAGCTTATGTTTGGGAGATAAACATAGAATCAGAGAATGGCTTGGATTGGAAGGAACCTTGAAGATCTTTTTCCAACCTTCCTGCCATGGAAGGTTCTTCCTAATACCCTATCTCAATCGCCCCACTTTCAGTTTAAAGCCATTCCCTGCTGTCCTGTGACTACATGCCCTTGTCAAAACTCCCTCTCCAGCTCTCTTGTAGCTTGCTAGGGTGAGGAGCACCAGACCAGTGGCAGTGTAGGCAGGTTGAGGAAGCAGAGTGGGGCAGCTGAAGCCTCTGCTAGAGCTTAATCTCTTTCCCTCCATTTCTATGCAGGCTGGTGACATGTAGTCTTAAAATTATCAATGGCTGGGTTGAGTTGGGCAGTATAGAGCATATTTGTAATATGAAAAACTAGTTTTACATCTGAGTAATCTTAAAGCAAAATATAGCCATAAGAATTAGTTATTTTTTTGTTGGGTTGATCTGGACAGACAGTAACATCACTTCTTCCTGCTGTGTTTCCTGGCAGATTCAGAGAATTTTGTCACATCTACCCTATTGCTCTAACCCGGTCAAAGCAGCTTTGAGAACAACTGTAAAAGAAATCCATGATTGTGCTAGTAATCTCCCCACAACTTAAACTTTTAGCACTATTTCTTTAGAATGAAGCCTTTCTATGACCTCTGTTTAATAACTTTTCCAAGTACTGACTGTTCAGTAAAGAAATTGTTTCCATCTTTTCAAATTACAGGAAACCCTTTTTTTACTCTTATCAATAGTGGAGTGTGATGTTAGTGATGTGTTTTTTGAAAGTCTAGAATGAGTCACTGTAAAGTCACTGAAAGGACACTAGTTACCACATCTCCCCTTCTGAATATACTTCATTTACATTTTTAATACAGTGTCTTTTGCCATGAAGTAAGAATTTTAAGGCCTCTCCTGAAAAGAGGCTGAGGCATGTTGTTACCAAGTAAATATTTCCAAGTCAGATAAAATCAAATTAAGGGTGTTAGGGAAACATCCTATCTTCCAGTCAGTTTTAGAAAAGACATTATCTGAGGAACAGACAGTTGTCTAGTGTGCCTGGAGTTTGACTGCCTATGTAAACTTTTTTTTCCTGTGTTTCTAAATTTGCAATTATTAAAATGAAAACAACTCTAGATGTTTTCTTATTATTTAAACCAGCTCATTTTCTTATTGATGTGTATTTCCTTTCCTATCTGAAATGATAATTGAGTGTTTTAGAAAATTTGTACTCCTATTGGGATGAAACATCTGCAATTGGAATTTAATTACACTGATCTTCTCTATCTTAAACTTTGATCAAGCAGCAAAAGCCAGCCTAAGACCCTCCAGTGTTTTTCAGATGCTTTCTGGTAATTTATTTATTTGTTGTATAAAACTCTTTTTTATTATGAGTACTAAACTTGGTTTTGGGACACCATTATACAGTAATGGTTTCAGGTATTTTAAATCAGTGGTTTTTTAAGCAGTCTGTACCTACACTCTTGTGTTGCCAGCTATACATCCTAGCCTGATGCTTAAATGAGTTTAAAAGATCTCCACGTGTTCAGGAGCTCTCAGTAGCATCAGGTGGCTTTTTGAGACTAGCTGTTGCTTCTTTGCAAGATGCTTTTTTCTTAGAAAGCTAGACAAAAGAGGATTTAAGTGTGATATGAAAACCATGTTTCTCAGCTGATAGTTTTTGGTGGACAGAGTTTTTTCTCATTTTAAGAAGCAAATTTTTGGAGTGTAGATTTTTCTTCTCAGGAGCTCTCAGTGTAACTCTTGGTATGCACACAAGTACAGTCACTCTACTATTTCACAGCAGAATGAGAGAGGTGAGAGCTTCCAAAACTGTGAAAGGGCCTAAGTGAGTTCTGTCTTAGCAGGGGGTTTTTGATCTATAGAGCTCATTTCCTGCTTCGCTGCCCGTACTACTCCCACTGTATACACAGCCTCTGGGGCAGGGGTTGGACTGTGTATTGGCTGAGTACACTGCTACAAGTACCTGTCCCTAGGGTAGAGGTGATGGCTGCCACAAGGGCGTTTGTTACCCTGATACAGATTTCTAACCCTGGTGGTGCTGTTGGAGCTGGTCTGTCAGAAGAGACTAAAAAGGAGTGGTTAAAAATCTTCAAAAGCAGTGAAATCAAGATGACATCTTTAATTACACCAATTGGCAGTGCTTTTCTAAAAATCCTTCTAGGAAGAGGAGGTAGGCACCGCAGTGGTGCCAATACACACACACAGTACACCAGGGGTGTGGGTGTAGAGATTCATTCACATGTGATTGCATCATGTTTTAAACAAATTCCTACATTCTAGTATTGGCTAGCTTTCATTATTTTGCAATTCTGATAATATCCACACCTTGTTTATATATATGTTCTTTGATATTTTTCTTTGTATATTCATTTTATATTTAAAATTACTATGATTTGCCTAGCGACCAGCTAGTTTTTGTGTTGTGACTTCTCCAGGTATCACAGTTTTGTTATAATAGTCCTCACCCTCACCCCCAACCACCAAAAAAACAAGTCAGCAACCCACATCCTATGTGAATAACTCTAGATTAAAAAAATTTAACATGGAGATTACTAATTACTTATGCTATTCTCTTTTAAAATGTGTGACATTCACACCTTAAAGACTTCTAAGTGGAGTCTTAGCATTCAGTTTTGAACCCAAACTGTTTGAGTTCTTGAGTGCTTTCTTTAGAAGTACAGAGCTGCTCAAGCACAGTAGTCCAAAACTCTTCAAGCACAGTATACAAGCAATGCAGAGTTAAATGTCCAGTTCCTACTGAAGTAAATGCCACAATAGGAAGTATTAAATGAAATTAAACTGCATGAAAGCAATTTAACTTTTCTTATGTCAGTGCAACTGTGTAGTAACTGTTAGTATGGCTTCACCTTGACTACTGTGTGGAGTCCTGGGCTCCACTATTTCAAAAGGATGTGCAAGTCCTTGAATGTGTCCAGAGGGTAATAAAGCTGGTGAGGAGTGGCTAAGGATTTTGGAGTTATTTAGTTTGGAGAAAAGGAAGCTGAAGGGTGGTGGTGTCAAGCTCCCCCAATGAAAGACTACTGTTAAAGAATAATACTACCAAATTTAAGTTTCTCACATTCAGATTTGCCTTTGATTAATGAATGCTCATCAGAAGGTGGGAATTATTTGCTTTAAGTTCAGATTATGTTCTAACATGAAATGTCACTGGAAGGGGAAACAATTTGGAAGATCATGGTAATACTTTGTACTTGTATAAAAATGTATGTATTGATGTGAAATATCAGTCTCATTTCACAATATTAAAGAATATTAGGTAACTTAAAAATCATAATATAACAGCTAAAACTTTGAAGGTCTTTTTTGTTCATTAGATATAGGTAAACTTTCAGCTATCTACTTATTATTTACTCTCTGAATTAGATTATTTTGATAGAAATTAAAATATATTTTAATGCTGTGGTGTCTGACTCCTGCATGTTTTCCAGTGGTTTGCTACCACAGTTGCATAAGAATCTTTAGAATGGCATGATCAGCTTAGTAGATTTTACTTTTCTGTTGGCCAGGGATGAGCAGCAGCTGTAAAGAAAAATCTGATACCTGGTCCTAATTTTTTTCCTATGTCATCCTTCCAATTTATCCACTGTAGACAGACTTGGTAGCCCACAGCACATGGGATTATTTAATTAGGAATTTTTTTTTTTTAGCAAGTTAAAAGGATCAGCTTTGATCCCTTGCATTTTGAATGTTGCAAGAGGAAGTTACAGCATGACCTTTTGAAAGTAGGTTTGTAGAAAATGCCATTGCATGGTTACTTTTTTCTTTTTTTTTCCTCCTTTTTTTTTTTTTTTTTTTTTTTTTTTTTTTTTTTTTTTTTTTTTTTTTTTTTTTTTTTGAATTGCTAGCTCTTTAAAATCTGTAGTTCTGAAAGGAAAACTGAAACTTATTTGCCTTTCATTAATAATGGGCATCTTGCAAGCCAGGCTTATGCCTTCCATTCAGCTCTAACTGATTGTAGCTACAGTCAGTTCTTGCATGAGCAAATATGCACAATTATTCTGTAATATCTGCATTAACTTGACAGTGTTATTCCTAGAATAAAAAGTAACCATAACACCACTTAAATGTAATGGAAATGTGGAATTCCCATATATGTGGACAGCTTTCATCTGTTTCTGTGCCAAACCCAACCTGCTTAAGTGTTACTGCCTCTGCTGTTAGTTTATACGGACTGACCTTGGCAGCGCCTGTTTCACAGCCTCTTGTGCACCCAGTTTCTACATAAGCTCAGCTGTTTATTACACTTCTGTTTTAGAAGGGCTATGGCACCTCTGTTATACTTCTGCTAAAACTTTCCTTTATTGTTGCATTTTGATTGCACGGTGTATAGTGACACAGTAGAGTCCATAGAGTAAGAGGTTTAAATGGGAAAGTCAAGGTTTCAAACAGAGAGAAAGGACTTAGTAATTTCTCCCATATATTCCTACTACCTCAAGAGATCAAGTCATGCTCATTGTGTGGAATCTTAATGTTTGACAGCAAGGAAGATCTTTTCATATGCTGATGAATTTTTAGTTTGCAGGTTATGTTGCTTTTGTTTCATAGGCCAGTAGTCACTCCCATAGAGAGATTATGGGGTTAGGCTACATTTGGGGTTTTTTAATCTCTTTAAGACAGGAACTATTGTTAATATTAATACTACTTTTGTGTATGTGTGTGAATTTGGCCATAGGTTACCTTGGAAACTAGATTCAGTATGGAAATATGCATTAAAGGATCTTGTTCTTCATGTTACAGATTGTGGGAATTAATAGTGATTATGACAAAATTATTTTTTTAGTAATTTTGTAATGCATACCTCACTGCAAGAAGAACAAAGCCTGAAAAAAGAGATACTGCTTTGATATTGCCAATACTGACAGTGTTCTAGATTGTTCTCTTCACCCAGCAAAAGGGTTTGGAAGATAGTGTGTTATCTCTCCTGGGGTTTATACTTCAGAGGGATGTTTTAAAGGAACCTCTCCATTAAAGCTTTGTGTCTTATAGTTTGATGGACAGTTAACACTTTTCATAATAAAAGGTATTTAACCTCTTTGTTAATGACTGTCAATTTGGCTGTTGAAGTAAACTCTTTGGTTTCTTCAAGTGTAATTAAAACTTCAGCAAAATGAGCTATAGGTAGAAAAACAAGATATTCCCATTATATTTGTATTTCTGTAATATATTGCCCGTATGTGATTTACAGTCAAAGTAAAGAATTTTATAAAACCAAGATGCTTGCATTCTCTAGAGCTGGTGGCTGCTTCAGAAATTATTTAGCTAGAAAAAGGCAAGAGCAGAGTTATTCTGCATTTTATTAGTAGCAAGTGGAAGACATGGAGTGCATTCCTCATCAGGATGATTATTTATCTCAGATCTGCTAATTTTGATTCAGTCATATTAGGATTCCCTTTGTGGACAAGATAGAAACCAGTGCTGCAGGCATTCAGTGCAAGTGAAACCTTTTCAAGCATCCTGAAATGTAGGAGCTGCATTTGATTGACAAATGAGGGAAACATCATATCCCTATTCATCTAGTTTGGTTTGTTTTTTACTTGCCAGATTTTTCTGTATACCTCCTGAAGCATTGGTGTTAGGGGACATTCATTTATATGCTCTGGAACTCCTGCATGACAAATACCACAATATTTTGGATGTTACAATTCTTTTTTACAGGACAAAAGAAGCTTGTCATATGTAGTGTTGCCAGTGCATGTCCCACAATGCAAGGAAAGAATTGTTTTGCTTAGTTGGAGACAAAATAAAATGTATTGTTGCTAAATGATGTAAACTTTAGTGAAAATAAAGTATGCTATGTTCCATGTATTGACAGTGTTCTCTAGGAGTGGTTTACTAAAATGCAATCTCATGTACACAGGATGTGGATTCCACCTGTGAAGCTGTTAATTGTTCATGTTCCTCCATAGAATCCTGCCTTGTACTACTGAGAGAGCTTGGTCTGAGCCACTGCCACCTCTAGATACCTGCTGTAGCTTCAATAAAATGAAAGTGCTGGGTGGTGTCTGGAAATAGCTTCTGTTTGTGACAAAAATACACAGACAGTTAAAATAAGATTTTTAATATGGTAGATCTTTGAATAATTTGACTGATTCCTTTTTGTAACCAAAACAGAAAGAAGAAGGAAAAATTCAAGGGCAGCTTAATAAATCTGATTCTAACCAGTACATCAGAGAACTGAAAGATCAGATAGCTGAGCTGCATCATGAGGTGAGTGATATTGTACTACAGTCTCTTATCACTTGTACCTTTTGTCCTTTCACCTGTGGCAGGTTTTGCTTATTTAATAGTTATTACATCTTCAGTACCTGTTTTTGCTGAAGTACATTATTTTTAATGAATGCAATAAAACTCATACATGAATCTTGCCTTTATCTGAGAATGTAAGAGAACAAAATAGTGATTAGTTTTGTGATTTGACATTAAATGAGATTGGCATTTATGTTCCATCTTGGCCTTTCCCTTAACTTCACAAGTTGATCGTATTTGTGTTGCATTTACTCCATTTGGAACTGCATATATAAAAATAAGCTCCTTGATGTCTTTATTTGCTACAACTGTTAAGGCCACTATAGTTAGAAACTAAGCCTCACTTGTGCAAGTAGAAGAATTCATGCATAAATTTTTTGGTCCTTGCTGTTGGGAGGATGAATTTTATGTGGCAGTATACTGAGATTGCTTAAAAAAAAAAAAAAGGATGCTTGCTTAATATCAGTTAACAGATTTTTAACTTTTAAACTGCCAAAACCTTCAATCTATGAAATGCCTGTCTTCAAACTTCCTTGCTCTAATAGTTGTAGTAACTTTCTGTTAGTTAAAAAGATCAGGAGGTCTTGAAACCAAAATGGCTTATGTAATTCCTGTGCTCACTGGCTCATTTCAGTTCATGCTGCCTTGTGAAGAAATGTCTTTACCTAATACTCCATCATGTGCAAAATGCCTGGTCATCTCTGCAGTAGAGTCTCTTTCTAGCCTTTTCATACACAGCTCTGAGAGTGTTGCTTAAAACCATAGGATTGAAAAGCAATTCAACCTAATAGTTTGTTGCCTTTTTGCTTTTATTAAATAAACACATTCTTTCTTTAAATGTAGATAGTGTTTTCATAACAATCTGAGTAGATCCAAGCTTTTAGGATCAATCCCTTGAGACTTATAACACAGTTGAGGATCTTGGAATGTTGTCTATGCTATAGATCACTATGCTATAGATGGAGGATAGTGTCTAGGGTCATCAGTTCAGCACCTTTACCAATAATTAAGCTCACTTAAAAACAGATTTAAAAATCAATAACCTGGCTTTCTCCATTAAAGCATTCTAATTAGTTTTCTTTGTTGCTTGCTTGAAGAATTCCCAGAAATCCAGATATTTAGTGTATTTTTGCATTATGAACAAAATAAGGCACTGTACTGATTTCTTCCTCTGCTCACTGTAGGTTTAAAAGGTAAGAAACACTGCTTTGGGGGAAAAGTAGAATTACTCTTGGATAGCTGTTGCATCATTTTCTCTATACAATCATTTGCTATATGCCTGGCTGAGCAACTGAATTGTCATGAAGGCAAGCAATATCGTACATCTTTAATGTGTTGGAAAGAAGATGAGGTTCATAAGATCACAGAATAGTGGTAATTCTAAGTAATACCAATGATTTTCTAAACAGTTCAGTCTAGTCAAATCTTTATCAGCATTTCAATTTGGCAGAAAGGAAATGCTATGAAGAACATGAATTTCAACAGTAGCAGAGTTTGAGTAATTCCATATAAAAGAGCACTCTTTTTCCAGATATGTGCTTTGTGGTGGCTAAGTTTTTAATTTCCAAGCAAGGTAAACACTATAGAAAGGAAATAATTCTAGGATATATAGCAACAGTAAGAAGAAATGGTTTGACTTGATGATTTTACAGATCTTTTCTGACTAGTCATTCTATGATTCTATGAAATCATGTATGTAATAGACATGTGCTACTTTGGCAGCATTCATTATGCTTATTTACACAGACTATATTCAGGCCTGGAAGTCTTTGTTTACTAATGATTTATTTTTCCCTTTTCCCCTTACTGCTACCTATTTATTTGTCTATTTTTAAAATAAAATCTTATGAGGGAAAGCAGTATTTCCTGCAGTGTTTCCCCAAAAGGAAACTGTGAAGAAAATGGCAACAGGAAGAGGCAAAAATGTTTGCTCTCAACTGCTAAATGTTAGAAGAATAATTCAGTCAATGCCAGTTAAATAAATAACTTCCTTAAATCTGCACTGAAGTGTCTTCATGCATACAACCATTAATGGTCAAGGTCTTTGTTTTTTGGCTAGCTGCGTTCTGATTCTACTTCTGCAAAAGCTAAAAGAAACGTTACACATTTGCAAATGCATCTTCCTGAAGATAGGGTGATGGTGTATGTGACATGCTGACCACAATCTCCCAACTGATTAGCATGTAAAAGGCAGTGGAAAAGGAACAGAGCTCTTGGTGACTGTATGGTTACCTTCTAATACATTGTAGTTGTGTAACTTTAAACTGCACATAAATGCAAATGTTAATTAAAGCAAAACTTGTAATTTAAGGTAGAGGTGGGACCGATATGTGTGAAACAAGATGAAATGTCTTGGCATGGCCATTGATGTTGATTCTGCTTATTTAACTTTTTTTTTCCTCTCTAGCACTGCTGGAAAGGAAAAAAATGTTTTACAGATTTTTACACCAGAAAAGTTGCAGGTTCTCCATCTGAAGGATGGAACAAAATAATTAACAAATCCTGTATCGAATAAAAGTAACTTCTGACTAAGTCCACATTCTGGCCTTTGGATAAACACTATTTTGTGCCTTTGGCCAGCAGTATGAATGTAAATGTTTCAGTGCCAGTGGAGCCTTGAGGAGCTACATACTTTAATTCTATTTTATGATATCATCCATCAGATGGCAATGATACCAAATTGTGGCAACAGCATGATCCATCCTAATTGCAGAGTTCTTGTGAAAGGTCTACTGTCCCATCAGTGTTTGCAAGCCAGGCTAGTAGCCAGGCACAGGGCAAATCTAGAATATCAGTGAGGAACACCAATAAGGACAGCAGAGAGTCACTATTATGAGCAGTATCTAAAGGTGAATTCTTCACTAAAATATGGCTTAGGGGTGGGAGTTTGTTATGGTACAGGTGCAACAAGCTGCTGCTGTACTATCTCTTGACTTTCAGGGTGAGAAAAGCTTGGCCATTAGTATTCAGATATTTCTCTCACTTATTCCAATGTGGTAACCTAAATCAGCTATGTGTTGGAACTCTGCATGCTGTATCAAATGATTAATCAATGGATTTAGATTACAAAGTGCAGTTGGTTGAAAGTGTTTGTAAGTATAAAAAAATTTTTGAAAAATCAAATTAATTTTGGTCATCATTTTCTGAGCTCAAATTTTGCATGCTCCTTAAGAATAATGCAGCTTTCAGCCAAAAGGATACATTTCAGCTGCTTTTATTACTCACCTAGGAATAGTAATGCTACAGTCTTCAAATCATATTATAAGAAGACTTACTTGTAGTAAATTCAAGTTGTGTTCCTGTTATTGAATAAAACTGCACATACTGGAAATGGGTAGTATGGCACCCAAAACTGATTTGATGAGCCACATTGGTATTAAATGTACAAGGTAATTAAATAGAAAAAGATGCCTTTTTTTATTACCATTTAAATACTGTAAAATAACAATAAATGGCATTACTGGATTTCTGGCTTGTTCCATCAAGCTGCCTGCCTGATTCCTTTTATACCTAAGGAAAGGATTTCTATAGCATGGTAAACTGAGTTGAATATTAACTACTCAGAGTAAGTCTTAAACATGTAATTGATGAACACTTCAGGAGAACAAACAGACAAAATTTGTAGCTTTGAGAACATTATAACCAGTTGTCAACTTCTGTTCTACTAGGCTCTAGACTTCTGTAAACTTCTACTTTACTGCTGAACACTGCAGTGTTAGGTTAATGGCTGGACTCTGTAGAGGCCTTTTCCAACCTTTACAATTCTGTGATTCTATGCACATTATCTTAAATCTATTTACGTGCACCTCTTTCTTTGCACTGATTTGAACAACCAAATATGGGTTAGAATATAAATATTAAGTATAGTTTGTAATGTTATGTAAAATAGCGAATTAATTCTTAAATTCCTCAGTGCAACCATAACTTCACTCAGAAATCAAATACATGTAGATCAATTATTACTTACTTGCATTTTGAACTTTAGTAAACATACCTTGTTTTATACTCATTCCCTAGAAAGTTACTGACAGCTATCCTGTAATCTTTTACACAACCTATCAGTATTCAAGGAATAGCTGATACATAATGAAAGGACACTCAGACTGAAGTATTTCTAATTAGCCAGTAGCTAATCCTGTGATCAGTCGTGCATATTAAGTGCTGTACTTCCTTTCCTCCTTATTGGCTGAGTTTGTGATTTATTTGGCACAAAGTTATTAGGTGATTGTGACTTATGACTTTATTGTTGAAGGCTGAAACTATTGTGAAAACTTGAAATGTTGAGGATCATCACAAACATGATGTCATGATGTAAACTACTTTGAGAGCTTTTAATATGTACTAGCTTTAGACACTCTGCCTTTTCGGAATCTTGTGTCCAGTTGGCATTTGTTCTTTTCATTAACTGAAGTCTTTCCACCTAGCACTTTCTTTCTTCTTTCTTTTCCCTCCCATTCTTAAAGCTATCTCTGCAGCATTCTTGACTTCTAGCTTAGTGGGATTTTAACTAAATTGCTTTCTCGTCGTGCAGCCCCAACAGGCTGCAGCTTCTGTGAAGCAGCTTTTGTTACTCTTGTCAGTAAGTACAGAAGCTTGGCTGCCCTATGTTTGGCACAGGAGAAATAAGGTCTAGTGATCAATCTATTCTGTCACTTGACCTTCCAGATCATGTGCTTTGACTGATGTAAAATAAATGGCCTGAGCACGCAGACCCTTTAAGGTTGTCCTGTGCTTAAGATACTTTCAGGCTGCACCAGGATTGCTAGTATTTCACAGAAGTTGCCTTTGATTTAGATACAGAAATGTTACGTGCAGGCAATTTCTGTGAAACATTTTTACTGTTCAAAAGAATAGATCACTAAGTAGGTAGTACTGAAGAAAAGCTGTTAAGCTATGTGGAAATGAATACATTGAAGTTTGGCCTGTTAAAAGCTCCATTAAGTAAATTTGGAGGCTTAAGA